AAACATAGGGTCCCAGTTGATCTCTGAGACATCCTTCAGTAATTTGTCTAAGTCCATACGCGCGAATGAGCGCCTGTGCAAAACCTTGGGAGGGGATTTGGGGGGCTTAAGCCGATAGGAAAGGAAGATGAGGTCATGATGAGAGAAGCCAGGAGCGATATGTTGATCATGTGATGTGACGAGAGAGGGATTAGAGGTGAGGATTAAATCCAGCCATGTATCATCACCACAAGAGTTTTGATGAGTTGGTTGAAGGGGTAAAATATGTAGGCTTGCGGACTGGACAATATGCAGGAGTTTTCGGGAACGGGAGGATGATTCTTCCAAGTAAAAATACAAACCAAAGTATTAATAAGATTTCAAAATACCAATACTTAGTATTTAATGAAACAGTAAAAATTAGTGATTTGATTATTGATAAAGCTGATAAAAAGGAGATTGCTCAAATTGGCCCAAATGCACAAAAAATATTGACATACACGGTAATTCTTGGCGTAATTTGTAATTTAATTTACAGTCATTAGATTTCAACGGACACCTTTGTATAATATATTCACTTTAAAAAGGACTTTTCATTTTACCGGTTTGGAAAACATATGAATCATTTTTAATGGCTATGGGTGTAGTAACATTCAGCCAAAGACTGATCGAAGTTGTTTATATAACATAAAAACAAATCTATTTTGTAAAGATCGATAAAATATTTTTTTTTTATTACACTGTGGTTTTAATATCCACAACTTTATTATCATTTTCACTACATGCAAATGTGCTCAGACAATTATTATAGATGGTAGGCAACATCATAAAGTCTATTGCCATACAGTTTTCGCCAAACACCTCCATAAACACATTATAATCTGTTTAGACTTTAAGGTATCTATCTATGAGCCTACGCCTGACTATAAATAAATAAAATTATAAGGTGTGATACACTAAAAATCACACACACAATCACAAAAAAATTAAGCTACTGAATATATGGCTATATAACCTAAACCTCTTAGCTTTCTTTGGTTAACGAGAGTTTAAAAATTCTCTCTAATCTGTGGCTCATTCACAATCATCACACAGTTTCTGTCACAGAGTACCTTATTATAACCGGAAATGCATATATGACACCTGATTTTAAAAGTTATTCTTATGCATTAACTTAATGCAGAATAATCAGTAAAATGGACCAAATTTCAGTATTTTAAGGAATTTTATACTTGACCATGTGAGTTTCGGTTTCGGTTTCGGTTTCGGCCGAAACTGAAGCCACGGCCGAATGTTCGGTTTCGGTTTCGGTTTCGGCCGGAAAACCAGTTTCGGTCGGACACTAATAAAAGTGCTTCCTCGGCTGGGATTCCAACCCGGACCGCTAGCGTATGCTTGTTAATAAGGTCTGAATTTTTAATAACAATTAAAGACGTAATGCGACATATGAAAGATGAACGAAAAATTAAATACAAAAACACCGCGTGTGTACAGAGTACGCGTGTCGGAAGTGAAACGAACTTTCGCAATAAAAATTATAAAAATATCGGAGCTCGATCGCGCAGATTGGTGGTGGTGGTGGCGATCGTTGGATTTAAGCAACTTTCACAGTAGTCTGTCATTGGATGGGTGGCCAAAAATCTTCTATCTCGAGTTCCTCCGTGCTTCGGAAGGCACGTTAAGCCGTTGGTCCCGGCTCCCTATTCCATCCACAGGGAAGGCCTGTGCCACAGCGGTGCAGACATTAATAGGCTGATGCTGATGATGATATTGACTTAATTAAATAATTTAAAAAAACAGTAAAAACAAAGAGAAAACCCTCCTTTAAAATCGTCACACTAAAACCTGACGCTCAAATCGTGACGCGGCCCTGAAAATTTACCCTCATCGCGCGTGACAAGGAATCCGTTAAAGGTTTTTCATGATTAACAAAGCTTTGATACACATTTATAAAATAAAAGTCTTTTGCTTAACAACTCGATTGTGGAGTCTACTTAAGGTATTGGCAGACGCCTGCAGGGTTCCCAACTTAGGGGTTTTGCCCCCAGATTTAGGGGCTAGAAGTGTTAAAAGTGACTTTTTTAGGGGCTGGAATTTTTTGGGGATTCTTTTAGGGGCTTTTAACAAAACTTTCAATTAAATCGAAAAACAAAGCGTGAGTTTTCTTTCAGTTTTGTACGTAGAATGGAACGCAGCACGATACGATACGACTGAACTCACTGTGTGGCAGGTTGTTTCCTAAGGCTGTATGGACTAAAGTTCTTTGCCTTCCACCAATCAAAACAGCTAAATAAGATTTAACCGCCTGTGAGCTCATTTTCGTTTGATTTTCCATTCGGAAAATGTATTTATTCAATAAAATAATTTACTGTAGCAGAATATGTAACGTTTTAATTTATGAGCTACGAAAGAATTTAGGTAATAAGATAAGTAGGTACATATAATTTTCTATATTTAGGGGAATTTAAAAAATACTTAGGGTAAAATTTTGGTAAGGGTTGGTAACACTGGACGCCTGTGGATTTTATTACGAAGTTAACGGTGCAGTGGACAACAAGTCATCCACGGGTCTGGGCAGACATCACGTTTTCCACATCCCGCAGGCAGGTTGTTTACCGGTTAATTTTCAAACCTAAATCAGTATCAGGTACATTGGGAGCGTTTTATTTAGGTTTGGCTCTACCTTAACCTTAAAAAACCGGTTTTCTTAAAAAGCGAAATCAAATAGGTTTTGAATCAATTTAGCGGTTTTTAAAGGGTTTCATTTCGCTCTTACTAACGGCATCGATAATAAATGAGTAACTTGACTCACTAGACGCTAGCAAAGGTGTCAATAAATGCATCAATATCTGAGCATTAACAAGTTGTGACTTGATTAGTTCAAACAAAACAAACTTCAAGCGATGCCGACGTGTGCACGTGTTGCTCTGGATTAACCCGGCGTTCGCACAGTTGGGTCTATTTGACCCGAGCAGTTTTCAAATGAGCGTGTTTCTTAAAATGTTTGTGCGACTTTGCCAAACTTCTCAGTAGCTGGAGCTAATGGTCCCCCCTCCACGTGGGATTCGCCAATCAGTCGTGTTGCGGCCGCAGCGAGTGATAGACACGGCCAAACACGAAAAAGGTAAATATGACCCAACCATACTATTCGTGTCGTAATTTTGCGCCGTTTAAAAAAATGTTTTATTGTTGTTTTATATTGTTTATTTTGTTATTTTTGGCAAATATGTCTGAAATAAATGCGTACATATTACATAACGTCAATTTCTAAAGAAACTTAAGCCTTATACTGGTTCGTGAGCATTTGCGCAATCGTAAAGATGTCATTCAGTTGCCAAGACTTATGCGCAAAAGAATAAGAGAGTTTTTAGGAGTAGGTACCTGATGAGGAGCCACCTGTGAAGATACTTTATGTAAGAAAGAGATGCCAAGACTGTTCTGCCAAAAAAGATAGAAAAGTGATACTTTTCGGAGCTGTATATGCAAATACATCTGCAGTGAGCATGCAATGTTGTACTGCCGAGATTGCGCAGATGATAGGGATACTATGACTGACGTATGAGACTGATACAAATAGTATAATATTATTAGTTTACTAAAGATTTGATTAACATGTAACAAATTAGTTTATGTTATAGAAAAAAGTTTGTTTTGTTAAAATTTTTTTACTTTAAGACAGAGGTTGTCCATTTTGTTAATATTTTGTGACACTTTTATGAAAATAACATTAAAAAGATAGTTTCGTATCATGTTGTGTTTTTTTCTACTCAAAACCTATAACGATAATCGTTTTATACAGATAGTACAACCACAAACCAAATTTATTTTAACTTTTGTAATTATGGCGTTTTCTTATACGGGTCCTCTCGACCCAACCCTACTGTCGTTGATGCATATTTTGACTGTCGGGTTAAACCGGTTTTTAAGGTTTTAGGTACCGCTTTCATTACGGACGTGCTCCGAACGAAACCTTTACTAAAAACCTGTATTAACCTTTATTTACCGGTATTTTCGAAACCGGTTTCAAGCCCTGCCGTAAGGTATTTATTTCGTAGCTGTTTCTAATATCTTATAAAGTGTTTATTTTTAATAATAAGAACCCTTAAGCGTAATTCCTCATCGCGCGCAAAGAAGATTCATTTCAATAATAAAATTTCACTTTATTATATTTTAAATAAATTTATTTACAAATATTCAATAGAATCGTGTACAAATGCAATTTGAACATCTCATGATAACTTGCCACAGTTTGGTATACACAAGGCTTTTACAAAATTGTATGTAGGTAAGTATAATATTATACCTTAGAGTTAACTTAATATTATATATTTGAACTATAACATTTTGCACTTCTGAAAAACATCGTATCATTATTGAATAACTTATTCATTAATTTATTTAGAATATTAGCGGCCATCAAACTTAATCGACGATTCGACGACCTCCGTGGCCGAGTGGTTTTTACGCCTGGTTTCATGGTGTCGCCGACTCGAGAGGTCCAGGGTTCAAATCCCGGTGGGGGCAGACGTTTGTGTGATGAATAGGAGCATTTGTACTCCAGTCGTGGATGTTTAATATGTATTTCTATAAAAGTATACTTAAATATGTACAGTATATGTATTCTATCCGTTACCCTAGTATCCCATAACATAAGCCTTATAGTGCTTACTTTAGGGCTAGGCTAATTGGTGTGAGTGTTGGAAATATTTATTATTATTAATTATCAGCTTCAAGTAACTTCAATTATTCTGATACTTGATTGTATTGTAAATGCGATGTCTGTTTGTAGGTTTGTAGCTCTATTATGCCTAAACCGATTTTGATGTATTTTGAATAGAGATAAGGGTGTTCTTGGAGAAGGACATATTGCACTTTTTTGAAAAAATGTAACTTAAAACTATGTTAATGAAACGTTTGTTTAAGGCGTTGAATTTCGACGGCCTGATATGACTTTCGAAACATTTAACATTGGATGTTATTTTAAAGGCACCAACAGTATTGCTTTATTAAAATATCACAATTTACTCTCTATAAGTGAATTGAGTATAATAATGAATCAATTGTTAATACTTAACTAAACCAATAAATCTTGTGGTTATCCAAATTCCTATTTGTAAAATTCTATAAACACTTTCATTAAATTTCTAATACATCATAATATATACATACTTCCGGACACATGAATCGATCCACTTAGGCTCGTATTACAGAATGAGTTAGGGATGTCGGCAGACCCCTCTTTCTCAGTGGGCACTTTGGGCAAGTGCCAAGGACCCCGCGATCGAAAAGGTCCCCCCTCAGATCAAATACAAAGTCCTTGGGTTGTGAATGCCAAACTCGAGAACAGCTCTTATGGGAAAAAACATATTCTGCATGGCCCCTCGAATATATAATAAACTCCCGACATATATAAAAGAATTAAATTTTAATTTATATAAGAAGAAAATTAAAAATATATTATTAGATAAATGTTATTATGATGTATCGGAATTTTTAAATGACAAATTTTGAATTATAATTATGTTTTATTATTATTATTTCTATTTTGTGATTAATTTTGACATTTTATTATTGAATTGGAATCATTTGAATTTGACATGTTTTATTATTGACATATTTTGACAAATTTTGAATTGTAATTATGTTTTTATTATTATTATTTCTATTTTTTGATATATTTTGACATTTTTTTTATTGAATTGGAATAATTTGAATTTGACATGTTTTATTATTGAATATTAAGATTTTTGACTTAGAATTTAAATAACTTAATGAATTTGTATGCCCATAGCGGCACGACATGTTATTATGCACCCCTTAAATCATAACATCTTACTTACACATGTTGTTCAAATAAATATTTTCTTTCTTTCTTTCTTTCTTAGTTCCTGTCATATCACCAAACGATAACCAATATTTATAACCAAAAAACTTATATAATTCGAGGAAATCGAACCTAAATTACTGACTACAATACCGACTTACTAGCTTTTACATGCGCGAAGCTATTCTACTCTCGCCTAAAAATTAGGCTTTCCGACTTCACCATGCTTAGATAAATTTAAATCTCTTATCTATTAGACAAGTCCGTCCGTCTGTCTGTGGTGCTGTTTCAGCGGCCAAACCGTAAGAGATAGATAAAGAGAATATTTAAGTTATAAGTTAAGAATAGTCTGATAAGACTACAAACCGGATTTGAGTAACGTAGCACTTCCGGTTTTCGAGAAATCAGGTTTTGGTGAACATTTGGTTCACTGGTTTGCTATATAATATAATAGTATACTAAGCTATTTTAAAGAAAAATCATCAGTGTGACTCGCTCCATTTCAAGCCTAAATTTACATCATAGTCATAGGGGCCCCATTATTTTAATATGCCCAGGGCCTCCAATAGGTTAAAGACGGCCCTGGATGTCGGTAAGTATAGTACATAGAGGCATCCCTTTCTAACTGTACTCAAGTAATATTTGAAAAGCTGGCGAACAAGACGGTATAATTACATAAAATTAAATTTTACTGGAGCTGTATAAAACTTCTACAGTGAGCTTTTGGCATGGTTTATAATTTATAAATTTAGTAATTTTAACTCTGTTTTAGGCGGTTTTGATTGAAAATTATTTGAGATTCAAATTCAATGGGCCCGAAACCTCCGGACTGTAAAAAAAGTAGTTTGACCAGATGCGCAATGAGGGCTACCGTTTTCTGCCTCACCAGATGGCGCCACTGTTGAGTGAGGTCCTAAATTGTAACTTTTAAAGTTTATTAATACGCACATGAAATCAAAGGTTACATTTAGATCGTGTTTTAACACAAAAGAACCATATCCTAAACATAATAGGCCATGCCACAGTGACGCGCAGTTCCGTTTTATTCGGAAAAATGGGAACATAATTATTTTTCTAAGCTCAAATTTTTAATAACTGACATTCATTGCCACATAACTCATATTTGCCATAATTAAGCCGAATTGTTACCAATTATTCACAACATTATTTTAATTAGAAATAAACCCGCGTAGTCAACCAACAAGCAATAACATTTGACATTTCGGAGACCTCACGCTACACTAGCGCCTCTAGCGGCGGATTCATACGCGATAGCCCTCATTATACCGTTTTGTTCGCCAGCTGCTCAATTTCTTTTTAGCTAGAGACTGTCAAAACTTAAAATGATAGATAGGCCGATAGATGTGTCCGGAAGTATATGTTCACAATTATTTATATCATTTTTATCAATTCTTCTTGGTAAAACCTGTCATAACATATGGAGTTCTCATATAAATCATGCTGAACAGTACGGAAGAGAAACAACAAGTTTCTTTTTTATCTTATGATAATGTCTTGCTATTTCTTGCTGCAGTAAACGCAATTCTATAACAGGCTTAGATTAAAACAAAAAGGGAAGATACGGTACGCTCATACTAGCATCAAATAAAATATGAAAAATAATAGCAATTATTATGCTATGCTACTTATTGCTATTTCTTCTTTCAAATGTTTAATACTTGAAAAAGTATTCATTTGTCATTGTGGGTTACCTACAATGCGAAGAGATGGCGCTGCCTTGCAACTTAAGGCTAGGAAAATTTCGACGCGGCGAATAGGGCCGTGGTAGCATAATGGTCATTCGCTCGGATTGCGAAGGGTGCGGATTCGAGTCCCGTCCGCTGCCTGGTCCGCGTGGATTTTTTTCTAGTAAACTTTTCTTTATGTATTTTTGTTCTTGATTTTAGCAGCAAAGGTATTGTTTTATCTTTATAACACAGAATATACGCAATATTATTATGTAGTAACATATAGTGCACATGCAGCGTGTTTGAATGTCCAATTGTGACTAAAGCGAATTGTGGTCATTAAACACAATTTAAGCGGATCACTTTTGAGCCGTGATTGCAGTATCTTCCCTTTTCGTTTTAATCTAAGATAATAGGTAATAGTTCAAAAACTTGGACAATTTCGTCATACGGTTTTTCTATCACAGTGCAAAACTAACACAAACTGATTTTTTGATCTCACAAAATGATATAATGATAAATTAATTCATATCTTAATGCATTTAGGTCCTATAATCGTGTACTTGCATAACAGCATGTGCTCGGCAATTTTTGCCATATAAATAGAATACAATTACGCAAACATCGAAGAACCATTAGAATAGCCACCATTAATGCTGCACTCAGAAACGTTAATTTTCATGGTGCTCTCTTTTCACATGTTATTTGCAACAGCAATAGAATAAGGCAACATGTCACTTTAACAAGCTTAAAGAGCATAAGTCAATTTACGTCACTAATTGCAGCGTAAAACATTATTTGTAAAGAAACGCAAGATTTTCATTATTTTTTTGCAACATAAATTCATAAGTTACGAAATGCATTACATTAATACTTAAATATTTTTAACAACACAAAGTTAAAACAGTAACATTTCATGAAAACATCATTTAAAATGAAATAATGTTTTGGTACCTGTATAGAGCACCTTAGGGTAAGAATCTGTTTTTGTAAACAGCTGAAATAATTACATAAACAATAGTATACTGCCCAGATCCCAAATAATTTGGACCATTTTACAAAGACTTCAACAACTTGTGTTTAATATATAATTTTTATAAGCATACATATGTCATAGTATGATTCTATAAATCGAATCATTTGACTATCCACTTTTTAGCAAAATTTTTTGTAGATATTCAATTTATCTAATCATCCTACGAGACATTCAGAAACTGTAGAATATGAATAATACAATACTACTTAAATAATGTTATTTAATACTTAATGAACTTAATCAAGTGTATTTGTATATGGTGCTACCATAGTTGCAGAAAGATACTTGACAATAGCACAGCAAAGAAAATTCTATACAAACATAGTATGGATAAAGTTTTTACACCTTTATTGTTTCGTTTCATAACAATTATCTTTATATATATAATTCTTCTGTGAGTGTGTATGTCACTGAACTTCTCTTAAACGACTGGACCGATTTTGATGAAATTTTTTGAGTGTATTCAAGGGGATCTGAGAATGGTTTAGATTCACAATTTTGTCCGCTGGACAACCCCTATTTTTTTAGGGCGGTACGAAGTTCGCTGGGTCAGCTAGTATTATAATAATATTCTTTGTATGAGATGCAAATTAAACTGATTAGCTCATATTTTTTTCTACAAATTACATAAGACCTAATGGACAGTTGTACCAATCAATAAAAATCGTGATATTACGGGCTTACTCTAACATAATTCTCTAAGCAAATAATTATCTTATTTTAGGTCTATGGCTGTTTCCATTTTACACAGAAATTTTACCAACATAGCGAGAGAGAGACATGAGAGATATTGCGTGGTAGTTATTTAAACAAATATTTAATATTTTAACTAAATAACGATTGTGCATTGAGCTTTTCATATTATTTTTTTCAGGCCTTGGCCTGCTGCTGCAGTGGCAGGATCGCTTTGCTCGCTCCGCTCACGCGTTATGGTCAGAACACTAACCTAACCTAGTGTGAAGTATAACCACTTGGGCCCTGGAAGTACAGTTTAGCCATTTATTCTTCTGAAAGAATAATACACCCAGACAACACAGCGCTAATAAATTAATCAGTAAAGCAAATAATTTCTTATTATGTTATACAGAGAAAACAAGAGACTGATGTCAAATTTAGTTTAGAGAATTATGCTAGAGTCAGGCCTACTTAATTACTACTTTTTCATAAAAAATCTAGCTTTTCCTAGTACTAAATACTGCTAACTTTCAATAAACTGTATCAATAACTCTTATAAATATAAATAATAAAAAGTCACTATTCTACAATCACAAAAGTAGTATTATTCATTTGTTTTATGTTTAAAATGCAAACCAATCTTGTATAATATCATAATAAACTTACATAGGATTAACAGCTTTATTTGTACTACAATTAGGGCAACTTTTAGTCTGCTCTTCTAATTGTGCTACCCTCTTTTGTAAATGCATTATCGTAGCATCTTTTTGTTTCAGTTGCATTTTCAGTGTCGTTATTGAGTCTTCTAAAGCACCATACACTGCTTGCACTTCCGGTTGATAGCTGAACACTTGTGGTGGTTCGTCCAAACAAAAAAACTCCCTCACAACAGGGTCGTTGGGTAGCTTACTCAATATTGCATTAATAAATATCTGTAACCCTCTCACTCTGTCCTCGAGGAATGCAGGCTCGAAGTTGTCCCTAAACCATCTTTTGCCAGGCAATGGCAATATAAGATTCGGTTTCTCAGCCTTAATTCTAGAGTAAAGTCTAACAAAATCAGTGTAACGACGGAACACCAACCAAGACTGGTCCCGTTTATCATCTTCCACTTTTAGTTTATAAATTGTGAAACGTGCCCTCTCCTCCATGACTTCATAACCAACTATAGGCACTTGAAGAGTGTCAAATTTCTTTATATTCTCTCTATGATGGGTAAGGTCTACATTGCTTATACTATTTTGTACTCTGGTCTGGTTTCTGCTCATTTCGCTGTTCTTATAGTGCTCATGAATGTTCCCCATGCTCTTGTAAAGACTTCTCGGTGGAGCAGAACGTCTCGGTTCTACCTCATTGTCAGAGGCAGCGGACTCCTTGTAGCGAGATTTGTAGAAGTTGTTAAATTTTGTTACTGTACCGTTTTGTGTCAAATCATCACTTGATGTCGATGATACCTCATTGTTCATGTCATCCCTGCGTAAGTTTTCCGTTCCATTACTTCTACTGGGCTGAGGGTTTTGTATAATTTCCATATTGGTCCAAATATATTTGTACTATATACTATACTATATTTGTTTTATTATAAAAACTGTAAAGTGATAAACATTAAATCAAAAAGTGTCTTACTATAAAATTTGTGCAAGCAATATGCATGTTTAAAAAGAAACTCAGTTAACATTGATTTTACCATTTTTAATTTTATTATTTTTATTATGAAGTCAATTATTGTGAAAAGACATATATGGGTATATTGTGTATGTACTGTTTATGTATTTATTTAAATAGGGATATGTTATTTATATATAGTGAATATTTATTATTTTATAATAAAGTATAGTTAGTTCAGTTGGTTTTTTTTTCTCTAACTTTAGTAGCTCTCACTCTATCACCAAAACATCAGTCTCATACACCCATACTGGTTGACTGGTAGAGAATGCCTGTGGCATTAAGTCCGCCATTTACTGTATTTTGGTAATAAAGAATAAATAAATAAAAGACACAATTCAAACAAGCCCAAAAGGGGAAAATACAAATTATAGAATGGTTTACTCAAGTACATAACTCAATGGCTATTACACAATAACCACCATGCCTGTTAGGTATTCTAATCGCGTAGTCACAATCGGAAGGTCCCCGTCAACTGACCGCAATAGTACAGAGATTGAGCCTTCACAGCCAATTACAGAATGACAGTAAATAGATTTGGCTAAACAAGTACTTGAACCAGACAGATAATTCTTACCTATACTATTGTAACGATAAATTGATTAATTTATACAGTGACAACTATCCGTAACAGCTATTCGTTTTAATTGAGCCAAAGTGTGATAAATAAACACTGAAATACTTGAACAACAACAATAACTTACACCACAACACAACAAGGACACCAGACTGTGACTTTAGCAGAGTTCGTGACAGGACAGCTGGTAAATTTAACTTCGTCACTCCTTTAGCACCAGATAAGGCAGTCGAAAATAAAGTAAATTTTTAGGAATTGTCGTATTAGAAATGAAAATTAAGGGGCAAAAGAAATTTGCTTAAATTCGACAAAGGCACAATTTTTTTTTTTTTTTTTTTCGTTTGTCCTTTCGGACAGGCTAAGGTCTGGGACCATACTGCCTCGTCATTAGTTATTTTTCTTCTTTTTATTATTAAAATTCAATATAACTTCCTCAGTTTGATAATTTCCGGTATATTTTCTAGTTTTTTGTTTTACTCTATTATTATGTGCTTTTTTCCGAGCACATTGAACATCTTAAACACCAAACATTTAATTTTTTCTCTTACTAGACAGTCCAATCATGAATTAATTACATCCTATATGAATTTCATATTTATTTAATATCTTTTTTATAGTACACATTTACACAAAAAATAAATCATAGACCAATACCATGCAATACCTTAATCCTAATACAAAACTTAAGAAAAGAAAAAACAAACTTAAAACAACGACATTTGATACGTTTCAAACTTGTTTCAAACCGACGACCTAAACGAAAAAGAATACCTACAAGCAAAATTACGAAAATAAACATTTTTTTTCAAACAAATAAAAGGAAAGAGAACATGCGGTACCTATTAAACATAACTGAGCGTTTTGTGTATGCAGAACATTTAACCTTAAAATCTAATACACAACGATATTACAGAATATTTATATTTCTTCAACAGTGTTTGCAATGAAATTATACAGAGGGACGTATGTACAATTATTTACAAGAAGATCGGTCAAGGAACGCGGGACCAAATCATGTTTGCCATAAATTCGACAAAGGCACAAGATATTTACGACATTTTTATTATAATATTCTCCCTTTTCAGTGAAGGCAAAGGGAACAATGCTCATACAGCCTACAATTTTGATTATCTTTTTACTTTTAATTTATAATGTGGGCTTGACGCATTGATGTTTCTTGAAGTGTTTTTTCACGAAATGTATCCAGTCAGCTTTTTCGATTAGCTTACGTGAGGTAGTCAACACTACAATAAAATTCTCAAACCCACTAGACCGGAATTGCGTATATTTTAAAGATTTCACTAATTTTTCAGATGCGCAGACGATTGTAACACAAAATCACACCAATTCTATTTCACAATGATGTAACCTAAACTTATAAATTTGCTTAAATTCGACAAAGGCACAAGATATTTACGACATTTTTATTATAATATTCTCCCTTTTCAGTGAAGGCAAAGGGAACAATGCTCATACAGCCTACAATTTTGATTATCTTTTTACTTTTAATTTATAATGTGGGCTTGACGCATTAATGTTTCTTGAAGTGTTTTTTCACGAAATGTATCCAGTCAGCTTTTTCGATTAGCTTACGTGAGGTAGTCAACACTACAATAAAATTCTCAAACCCACTAGACCGGAATTGCGTATATTTTAAAGATTTCACTAATTTTTCAGATGCGCAGACGATTGTAACACAAAATCACACCAATTCTATTTCACAATGATGTAACCTAAACTTAAAATTGCAGTTCTCTATACAGAATGAAAAGGAGAGACTGATCTTAAATTAAGTTTAAAGTTTAGAGAATCATGCCAGAATCGACACCAATATCCACTTTTAAACGAATTAAAGAATAATAAAAATATGACGCCAACCGCACTCGATCAAGTCTCGATGAAATCGAGCCAAAAATGATTTTAGTTTTTCAAAGCTGATAAACAAGGTGAGAGCGTCTGATCTAGCAACTTCTCACCAGTTTTACCTTTGCAGCATCCAAGTGATCAGATGGAGAAAATTGTTGAAATAAAACCCCCAATGTTTTCATTGTTTTAATAATTCACAAAAATTGTGTCTTGTTTTTATAAAGATTTAAGCTTAACTTATATGTTTTGTTTGATGTAAGAATCAGTTATATATAAAATTGTTACACTTAGCAATGAAACGATGGGTTTCTCCAAAGATATTTTGTAGGTATTTTAATTAATTTCGGAGCACAGCAATTTAACGTGTTGATCACAAACAGAGAGCAAGTTGACCATACATACTACAAAAGGTGCGAAATTACCATAAACTAATATTTTATCAAAAATAAATAAAAATAATTGTTTATTGAATTTTGCATTGCCACTGACCACCACTTATGATTTGCAACCAAATAATGTAAATCATCAGGGTTCCTCCTTATTTAATATAATTTTTTGTATGGCTTCGCAGACTGCTTCGGGTGCCTCCAGGGACCACCAGTTAAGAACCACTGATCTAACATCTAAAAGTGCTATTAGTTACAGCTGCATGGGCTGCCTGCATCTACAGCAAAGATTGGAATAGCATCTTAAACATCAAAATATGATTAAGATCAGTCTTCCGAGACCTTGTTACCCCAAAGTTTTATTTCATCATCACTTGCTGTTAGCAAGTAACTCTCAGTCGGATGGTGGCTCAATGAAATCACAGGCCTATTTCTACTGTGCACCAATTTACTTGTGCACTGGCTGCTTATTAGATCCCAAAACAAGATCTCTCCAGTTGCAGACCCAGACATAATGTGGCTGTCTTTCTCATTGACGGCATTTTCAAGCATGAAATCTTTGCACTCATGTCCTGTAAAAGTATTAAGTATCTCACCTGAATCTTTGTCAAATAATTTCACAGTACCGTCGACGCAACTTAAAACATAACACTGCCCATCATGGGTCAAATTTCCGAAGGTCACTATCTGACCTATTAAGTCTGATAGCATCTTACCCACTCTTATGTCATATAAACGAACATGGCAGTCGACGGAACACGTCAATATTTCATGATCAGTTACTTGAATGGAGGTTATTGTGTCTTTGGCATCTTTTAATACTTGCACTGGCTCCTGCCTGCGGCTGACAATGTCCCAGAAAGCTACAGTGTTGTCTACGGACCCCGATACAGCCATACTCGACTCCTCATTGAACTTGATGCAGGTGACTGAACTAGCATGACCTCGGTACCTACGTATTGGCTGCCCGGTGGTAACATCCCACAGAATGACGGATTTATCGCTGCTGCACGATATTATGTGACTGCTATCACAAGATCCGGCTGCGTCCAGAACCTCGTTCGCGTGACCACCGTAAGTTTTGAGTAGAAGCTCCCTATGAGGGTTCCAAAGTTTGATTTTCTTATCCGCTCCGCAAGTTAAGCAGTACGTGCCGTCTACGTTGAAACGGACAGCGCGGACGACTTGCTGCTTACATTTTAGGGTCACTATAGCTGAATATTCATTCATTATTATATTTTAACTTAATATTTTGTAGGTTATTTGATAGGTAAATAAAAACAAACATTACTGCCAATAAGACACACTTCACAAGGCTTAAGTTTTTTCTATTCGTCATGTTGACAGCATGTTGTCCTTATCACAACTATACAGAATGAGAAGGAGAGTTTTGTCACGTTCATAAACGACAAATATAAATAGCTATAATAAGTAAAGTTTTGGCACGGTAGTCATAGTGTTGAACGATATCACAGATTACAGACATCATAAAACCGATAGTATCGATGACAATGTTTGTGTTGTATATAAGCTTCTTGCAATGTTTTTATTCGTTGTTATCGTTGTTGTTGTATGGTCATAATCCAATTTTTAAGACAAAGGTCTCTTTTCCCTTCGAGTTTATATTATAATTATGTAAAAGTAAATGCTTCTATTAATCGATATTTTGATTTGGACCATACCCAGTGCCACCTTGGTGGTTTTTCCTCCAGAACTGGTGCTTTTTCACGGCTTCTGGTGGTATATTTTCATTATCTGGCGGGTATGGTTTTTTTAGTGGTTTTTTAACATGAAATCTGGCAACATATTTTTAAGGGGGAAATCCCCTAACTTTCCGAAATTTCATAATGTTCTATGCTTACTCTGTGACAGGGGAATTCTTACACACGTTTGTCTGTTAAGGGCTTCCTTTAATCGTTCATTCTGTTTCAGGAATTAGGTTCGCGATCAGTGGTGCCGATTCTGACACGGTTCTCTAAACTTAAAACTAAATTTAACATCAGGCTCTCCTTTTCATTCTGTATAGAGAATGACAAGGATACACTGTTGTCAAATTTAAGTTTAGCTTTAGAGAATCATGCAAGAATCGACACCATTGTGTTGTTAAAGTTTGATTTGATGGAAACGTTTGTAACAGTGTGTGAACTCCTGAAGCTGTATGTTTAGACTATTCAATTATATGTTATTATGGAAATTCCAAACCTGACTTAAACCTTTAGCGGGTGTTGATGCTAAGGCGTTTTGTTTATTTTGTAAAGCAGAATTATTAGCAAAAGTAAATTTGAAATATGCTGAAACAAAAGAGTACAAACAAAAAATGCAAATGCTATCCGGCAATCAAAAGATATCATTTAAAAAACACAAAATACTCTTTCTAAAATCCACTACAACCACATCCAAACATCTTCAGCATCGACATCGGCTTCATCGACAGAAGCGTCGGCGTCTGTGAACGACGATGAAGTTATAGAAACTGTAACCTATTTTAACAATATCGAATTTTAAATTTCTCATTTTGTTTAAGATTTATTTCTTGATTATAAATAATGAATGTAAATACATATTTACCTGGTTTTATTTCATTCTCTAGTACAACTAAGGTAGCGCTCGGAAAAGTTATATGTTAGTAAAAACAATATTGCCATTATTTTAAATAACAAAATTTTACTAATTTAGAACGACTCCGGGATACAGTTATTTCTGTAGCATCTCATACACATTCACTGGTTTTTTTTATTTAAATAAGGGTTTTTTGTTGTCTGAGATGTAATTGTAATTTAGCGGATTTTGGTGTATTTTATTAAATCCAAATTTTTGAACCTTTGACTTGGCGCCTTAAAAAAATCCAAGGTGGCAACACTGACCATACCTATTGGGGAATTTAAAAAGTAAAACGTCAATTGGCGTTGGTTGCGTTGCTGTCAATGAGCGTCCGTATATTTCGCCGCGCTGCCGCTCAATTTTTCCTGATTTGTCCTTATTATTCATAATGCAAATGCTTTCACATTATTCCAGTTATATTTAGTTTCAATATGGGTTCTAAAGCACCGTCCAAGTTGAAGTTGCGGCGACCTACGTACAAATGCGATGCGTGTGCGAAGAAATTCCTCAGTGCTCAAGCATTGAAGACCCATCAATATTGCGTGCATAAAATTACAGGAAACTCGAGGCCCGTCAGAGGAAAGGCTAAAGTGATGAATATGCTTGGTAAAACTAATAAGAATCAGAAGCTTATCACAACCAAGGCTGTAAAAGAAACGAAGGCACCTGTTGTTCAACAACAGACTGTACAACTCGCTCCTTTGACGCCAGAGCGTGATGTGACCAATACCACACCACCTGCGGCACCTCGTAGGATAGAATTCGAGTGCCCGCAGTGTTTGAAAATGTTCGACGCTTATTCATCAGCCTTCAAACATATTCAGAAAGTTCATAGCATCAATTACAAAGGGCAAAAAATGTGAGTATCCAAACAGTAAGTTGCAATTTAAGTTTGGGGATATAATCAAAAAAGCTTTATTCAAATTGGGTGCATATTCAATTTCCTCCATGGTCGAGTGGTTTGTACGCCAGGGCCTAAGACTAACACCCATATTCTTAGTCGTTTCCTCGAGATTTTTTCCACTCGACAACCTCATTCGAGGAAATTCGTATGCTTAGAAAAAAAAAAACGCTTCACTTATATTCCTCACTCGAGTGAAGGTCGAGTTGAGGAATAAACTGTCAAACTCTCGACGTACCTTAAGGCTTCCTCGAGTGCTGTTTAAGGTGTTTTCAAGTTGTTTTTATCGAGAATTATGTCTGATTATGAAATTATTGACCAGTTTTTTTTTTTAAAAAGACCTTTTCTATAAATAGTTCGAGTATCACATCTTGGACCCTGGAAGTACAGTTTTACTGGCCTTAGTCACTTAGGTCACTTGATAGGTTAGATTTTATAAAAAAATGGCAAGTATGAACCTTAAATTCAGTTGTATATTTTTTTATCAAAAAAAGCTTTTGTGGGGTTTGTGCACTCTCCACTACCGTTTTCCCGCTAAGCCCTCATCTAACATGTTATCTCTCTCTCTTGCTTTTTATGCATATTTTATATTAATTCCTGAAAAAACTACGAATATCCGGCAGACGGGGATTGAATAGGAGGAAGCTTATTTCTAAACTATTATTATTACTTATTTATAGTACTACTCTTTTGTATCATCCAAAACTTTTATTCCCTACTGCTGGTTATTAGACATATTTAATAGATGCGGAGAAAAACAAGCAAAAACTACAGAACTAAAATAATAATGGTGTAACAACATTTATAAATCATTATGTTATTACACTGTCTATACAATGAGGATCCAAACGATTTTAGTTGAGAATGTAGATTTATAGAGCTACTGGTCTCGATTCTGGCATGATTATCTAAACTAAAAACTAAATTTAACATCAGTCTCTCCTTTTGTTTCTGTAAAGAGAATGACTAGGATGCACTGTTGTCAAATTTAAGTTTAGGTTTAGAGAATCACGCCAGAATCGACATCAATGATTCCTTAAAATACAATGAAGTTCTAAAAAGTATATTAATTACAAGGCTTATATCATCGATCAATCTGCTTGAAATCACATAATCAAAAACCGTGGAAAACGACACATCTACAACTATATAAGGTAACCTCAAACCAATGTGAGTCGTCAACTTCCGACATTTGACAATTAAGTGCCAACCAAAAAGTCAAAACATTCTTCTTCTTCTTTTTTTTAATGGGATTTACCCACAATTCCGCCAAGTCAAAACATTGACTGATCGATTGACAATTAGCACAGTGTTGCCGGCTACAAAGTGTTACCAGCGTAAAAAAAAAAAGAGGGCCAAATTGGTAAATTTCGGAAAAAGATGGAACCTCAATTCCAAATATTATCATATAAAATAATGAGATGAAAGTAGACTTCAAGAAAGAAAACGAAGAACTTGCAAAAAGATTTTCCCTGGAAGTTTCAAGTGCTATAAACGATAGTTTGAAACCTCTGGCGGAAGAAAATAAACAACTTAAACTCGAAATAGAAACTTTGCAGAGTAAAGTGTACAATCTCCAAAAAGAAATACGCAAAAACAATCTAATACTACATGGTGTTACTGAAACACAAACAAACAGTGCTGAACTGAGGGTGAAAGTCAGTCAAACCCTTAACAAGACATGCAACAATACAGAAGTGCGGGAATGGGATGAATGGGAGGTTAGTGACGTAAAGAAATTGGGAAACAGCAGTCCTGACAAAACTAGACCAATTATGGTGACACTCACTCTTACATGGAGAAAAATTGAACTGCTAAAAAACAACAAAAACTTCCCTTCTGGAATCTATGTCACTCCAGATTACCCAAAAGAAATTCTGTTAAAAAGGAAAGAACTGATGAAGGAAAAAGAAGAAAAAGAGAAGAAAGGAAATATTGCTTATATAAGATATGACAAACTTATCGTGAGAAGCAAAGAAGACAGAGAAAACAACAGGAAGAGGTTGCCTTCTAAGTCACCATCAGAGAAAAACAAAACAAAAAGATAAGTATGGTTCACAAAATATTTCGCTCCAGAGCCAACTCAGCATCCAAGGCACAAGAAAATACAGCCGGCCAACCGGAACCGAGAACTATGCAACAACCACAATAGAAACAAAACAATACCTATTCCCAAGCCGACTGGTCATCGTGGGGAGAGCGAAGACCACCACCCTCCAACTCAACTATTAAAAATAGATAATAACTCAACACGGAATAGCAACATACTAAAAATCGGCACTTATAACGTACGGACTCTGTCGTCAAATGAAAAAATAATAGAACTCAACCTTGCCTTAGAAAAAATAGAATACGACATCCTTGGTATAGCGGAAGTAAGGAGAATGGGGTATGAGATTGAAGAACACCAAAACTTTATATTTTGTTACATTGGTACCACAAAAGGCCTCTATGGAGTAGGGTTTATCATAAAAAAATACCTTAAAAACAACATTGTCAAATTCATTGGGATATCAGAAAGAGTAGCGCTTCTACAACTACAGTTTGAAAGAACACATATCTATCTCTCTGATCCAAGTATATGCACCAACCGAGAAATGTACAGAAGAAGAAATCAATGACTACTATGAAGACTTAAGAAAAGCTCAGGAATTAGCAGGGAGCACGAAAGTAATCATAGGAGACTTTAATGCAAAAATTGGCCAGCCTAAAAAGCATGAAACCATAGTCATGGGAAAATATGGCTTTGATGAAAGAAATGGAAGAGGGGAGACTCTAATAGAATATGCTCTAGAACATGGAATGATGATAATGAATACCTGTTTAAAAAAGAGAAAGAGCCGTAGGTGGACCTGGACATCACCAGACCAAAAAACAAAGAACGAAATTGACTTTATAATTACAAACAAACCTAAACTGATTTCAAATGTAGAAGTTATCAACCAACTTAACTTCCCATCAGATCACCGACTGGTAAGAGCTAGTCTAAGTTTGAAGTCAATCAAATTATGCAGGAAAAACTACAACAATGGACCAAGATCGATAGAAACGGAAAAAAACATAAAAACATAACAAGAAAACCTACAAATAAACATTGAAGAGAATAACAACATAGAAGACAAAACAAAAGTACAAGTTTACTATGACACTTTAGAAGACATCATCCAAGAAAGTCTGAAAATGGAAAGCGAATCTCATAGCAAAAATAAAGAGATCTTAACCAATGAAACTAAGGACTTAATGAAGAGACGCTCCGAACTACTAGCAATGAAAAACAAAAACAAAAAAGATAAAAAAGAACTAGGAAACCTATTCAAAAAAACTAACAAGGCGATAAAAAAAGACTATAATAACCACAAACAGAAAACCATAGAAAAAAACCTTAGAACATATAGAAGTACGAAGCGCTCGGTTAAAGAACTAACACAACATAATACATGGATAAAAAATCTGAACGACAACCAAAAAGAAACAAAAATCCGAAAAGATGTGCTTAAATGCGCAACAGCTTTCTACTCAAAACTTTATAAAGGACCAATAGAGGACATAGACAGCGAAGATGAAAAAGAAAATGAAGGAATTATTACTAACCTAACCATAGACCCAATTAACGATAAGGAAACACTACAACATATAAAAAAGCTAAAAAATGATAAAAGTCCAGGGCCGGACAACATCAAAAATGAAGCTTTGAAATATGGAGCCCCACTATTGCTTACATTCATCACAACTTTGTTCAACTTAAACCTTGTTACGAAAACCATTCCTCAACAGTGGTATAAATCAGATATTATCCTACTTTATAAAAAGGGTGATCCATTTAATATCTCAAACTATAGACCCATCAGTCTACTTTCAAGCTTGTACAAACTTTTTACATCAATAATACTTGGTCGGATATCACCACAAATAGATAATTTACAACCAGTCGAACAAGCGGGGTTTAGATCAGGATTCTCCACTATCGACCATATCCAAACCATAGAACAAATAATAGAAAAACACATGGAGTTTAAGAGGCCAATCTATATTGCTTTTATTGATTTCGAAAAAGCATTTGATAGTATAACGCACAAATCAATATGGAAGGCATTAGAAGAATGTAAAATCAGTCAGAAATATATAAATATAATTAAGAACATTTACTCCAACTGTACAAGCAGAGTTAAACTGGAAAGGAAAGGCGAGGAATTCCCAATCGGTAGAGGTGTCAGGCAAGGGGATCCTCTGGCACCCAAGTTGTTTATAGTAGTAGTATAGTAAAGTATTTTTCGCCACTTAAATTGGAAAGACAAAGGAATTAGAATACAAAACCAATATTTGAGCTACATTAGATTTGCCGATGATATTGCTATCTTCGCTGACTCTTCTACAGAACTAGAAGAAATGATCTGCCTATTTGCACAGGAAAGCAGTAAAGTCGGCCTTAATATAAACATAAGCAAAACAAAAATAATGACAAATTCTGTTGCGAAACCAATCATAGTAAACAATCAAAATATAGATTATGTTGATTCATATATATCTAGGGAAACAAATATCGTTTAAAGAAAACAACAATGAAGAGGAAGTAGAGAGACGAATAAATATAACCTGGAGAAAGTTTTGGGCACAAAAAGAGATCTTAAAAGGACCCTACAATTTAAACCTCAAAAAGATAGTGCTAGATACTAACCTTTTACCTTGCTTAACATATGGCAGCCAAACCTGGGTGTATACAAACAAAGTCAAAAACAAAATAACAACATGCCAGAGATCAACGGAGAGGAGCATTCTAAAACTACAAAGGATAGATAAAGTCAGAAGCACTGAAATAAGAAGCAAGACTAAAGTCATAGATGCTCTAGACTTTGCTATGAAATCTAAATGGAAATGGGCTGGACATATTGCCAGATACAAAGATAAGAGGTGGACATTGAGAACAACAACATGGAAAGGGCCAATAGGAAATCGTAGAGTGGGAAAACCAAAGAAAAGATGGTCAGACGATATAAAAGAAATAGCTGGACCAAAATGGATATATATCGCCAAAGACAGAGAAAAATGGAAGAGTTTGGAGGAGGCCTATACCCGAAAGGGATCTGTTAGTATGTAAGATGTACAAATGTTAAAATGAAAAACCTGTATAACATAAAAATAAAGGCTTTATTATTATTATTATATCATTGATCATTATACTGTTGATTTTGAGTTGATTTGGTGACCTAGTAATGATCCTCATTAAATAACCAATTTATTGCAAATATAAAACCTGTTCGAATGATTGGAACAGTTCAACCCCAAGCATTTTTGTCTGTAATATAATCAGATACAGTAGAATCCGTTTATTATGACTCAACCAACCGCCTATTATGACGTAATTAAACAACGAAGTTTGGTTTTCATATAAAATTCATTGTAACAATGTCGGATATAATGACTTCACTTACAGTGACTTGTCGCTTATTATGACCCATTTTTAATCAATTTTGTCCGTTTATAGTGACCGACATGGTTCTTTACACCTACGGTAATGTTCGTTGATCTGAAAATGAATCTCAGTGAGTAATTTACATTTAAACATAACGCTTTTTTTTAGTGATATCCTATGCAATAAAATGTCATCTCAACGTCGTAAAGCATTTACGACTGAGGAAAAAGGTGCAATAATATCATCATCATCATCATCAACAGCCTATCTTAGTCCATTGTTGGACATAGGCCTCTCCAAATGCACGCCACTCAGATCGATCTTGGGCTACTCCACTACTACATTGGCAATAATATGCTGATTAGAAAATGGAGAATCAAACTCATCTCACAATCTTTTTTTACAAAAATGCTTTGTTTGACGTCCGCTTAGTATGACGTGTTTGTTGATTCCATATTTCATTCAAGTCATAATAAACGGATTGTACTGTACTTTATAATAAATAAATAAATAATAAATATTTCCAACACTCACACCAATTAGCCTAGCCCCAAAGTAAGCATTATAAGGCTTGTGTTATGGGATACTAGGGTAACGGATAGAATACATAAACTGTACATATATAAGTAAATTTTTTTTTATAGAAATACATATTAAACATCCATGACTGGAGTACAAATGCTCGTGTTCATCACACAAACATCTGCCCCCACCGGGATTTGAACCCGGAACCTCTCGAGTCGGCGACACCATGCAACCCGGCGTACAAACCACTCGACCACGGAGGTCGTCATAATAAGCTTTTTAATGAGTGCTTTTTTTGTATAGTCCTCCAAAATTGTATAGTTACTGTCACATTATATCTGAACGATTGTCTGATTAACTACTCATTTAGGACCATTGACTGAATATGGCCATTGTTTATTTTCAGTAATGTCAGGATTATTTCAGCTTGTACTATATAGACAGGCACGACCACAGCCAGTGGCCAACTGATTCAATTTTATTCCTATGTGAGATATTTGTTTTTTTTTTTTGCCTAAACAGCAGGACACGGCATTCCTAAACTTTGTTAAACCAGTTTTTTATATAGTCATAATTTTTATTATATTAGCATTTGTAATGGAAAGTGACTTTATGAGTTACCTCATATTGAAGTCATTTTTCAATTTGACGACTCTGTATATAATACAGAGAGAAAAAAACAGCCCTTGATGAGTTTCTTGCCGGTTCTTCTCAGTACAAGGTCTCCCGCCGTAGATTTGCGAACCGATGGCGTAGCTTTTCGACATTCACAAGTGCTTGTAACAGCCTAGACTGAATAAACGATATTGTTTTTTTTTTTTTTTTTTAACTTTAACTGTTTTAAAACATTTGTCTTTGTTCATTGGGAATCGAATTTAGTTGCATAAGTTTAAACATACGCGGACAGTTTTTAGCTTTGATTTTGTATGCAACCCATTATCTATAGAATTGTTGATCAAAGTTTCCATTGATGCAATGCTAATAAAATTCTCACATTTAAGATTTTGCCCAATATTTTAATGTTCGTGATAGTGTTGGAGATGTTTATGAGAATTCTGTTATTAGCATTGGACCAATGGAAAAATTTAAGGTGTTAAGTAATTACCCCATAAAAAAAATATTTACCTGCAGTCACAACTGTTTTGAATTACTTTCAGTGATGCCACAAATTTATAAATCGATAAACACAACTGCATAGTAACTGTGAACATGAAATTTTGGTTCATAATTTATTAACTGATTATTAAATATGTATTTTTTCATTATCCTAACTGATATTCTTAATCAATTATAAAAACTGATAAAATATTCTTTTTTTTAACCTGTTAAGAAACAGATTAAAAAATCTTCATTCCTAGAGGGTTACAAAAATTTACTCACTCTATCAAAATGTTATTTTTCAGCGCACCCAATTCACCAGATATGATAAAGCCATTTTGCGTAGGATTCTGTACGAAATGTAAACGACGTTTACGTTCCAACGAGTCGCACAATTGTAATGAAGAGTTGTTTGACAAAAGCATTGACTCCTCTCATTATGAATGCACGGCCTGCAAACAGAAATTTGGGTCCATCCAGTTGTTTGACTTGCACATATCTGGATTGCATAGCGACAGCATCGAAAGCATGTTCTTCCCAACGATGAGAGGTAAGCTGAAACCCCCAAATTCTGACACTGCACTATTTGTGTTTGCTGTTTGTAAATTTGACAGCAAGTATCCTTTTATTTCCTATAGAGCATGATAAGAATATGTCGATAAGCAAAAACAAATATCAGTAAAGCGGGAGAAGGAGAGCAAGAGCCGTCTCTAGCCCATGCAGCAAGGGCTGATCCAGGGGGGGGGGGGGTCAGGGGGGGTCATGACCCCCCTGGGCTGGGTACAGATGGACCAAACCCAGGGGGATTTTATTTAAGTACTTTCAATATTTAATATACCACGACTATACGACCCCCCCCTGGCGCCAAAGCTGGATCCGCCCTTGCCATGCAGTGCCCGTATGAAAATATTACTCTAGCGTCCCTTAGTAAGCGCGCAGTGAAAATGGAATGGGTAAAAATTATTAGTAACAGCATATGAAGTTACCACAAACTGTCAAATTTCCCCAAAAAGTTTATATTGTAATTCGACAAATATAAGAAGAGTTCCAGATGGCATACAAAATGTGTGCATAGTCGATAGGTAAAGACGACTGAATGAAATGCTAGCAAGAAATTTATTAAAAACTGTACCCCAAAGTTAAGAGTTGCAATTTCCTTTTACTAATTAAAAGCATGGTACAGCTGAATAGTATACTAATTACTACCCTCCCTGATGTTTCACAACAGTGCTGTTTTGTTTATCACAGAAATAGAGAATGTGCATGTAATTCTAATAAGGCTGTTATCTTCTTAATATATATAAATCTCGTGTCACAATGTTTGTCCTCAATGGACTCCTAAACCACTTAACCGATTATAATAAAATTCGCACACCATGTGCAGTTCGATCCAACTTGAGAGATAGGATAGTTTAAATCTCAAATTATAGTCGCAATTTTAATTTATTGCAAATTATTACTTTTGGGCGGTACGAAGTTCGCCGAGTCAGCTAGTTTATTATATAAACGAATATTTTTTAATATTTAACATAAGGTTGACTGGCAGAGAATGCTTTTAGCGTTAAGTCCGCCTTCTGTCCATTTTGTAATTGTGGCAATAAAGTTTAAATTAATAAATAAATAAAATAAAACTTTGTAGACTTTGCCCCCCTTAGGAATAAGCTGGGATAAGTTACTCTATGTTTTATCTCTGTTCATTGAATAACAAATTGCAATGGAGTGATATGACCGAAACACTAACTACCAGTGAGCTTATATCTGGTTTAGTAATCAAGTTATCTGAAAAAAATTTAACTAATAAGTTGCCAACCCATCTTCTAACATAAATTGTACCCTGTCCACTGATAGATAATTGTTTCAGCGAACGTTTACCATCATCATATTCTGATTTTCTTTCACTACCAATCCTACAAGGGATTATTGTAACTAGACTTGCAACGAATAGTATATTCGGCAGTATACCGAATACCGAATATTCGGCGAGGCCCCTGACCGAATAGCCGAATATTAGGCAAAAGTATTCGGCTGGATTTTATCGCCAAAAACTTGTACAGACGTGATTGTTTCGCGCTCCTTTGTTTTGTTCTAATCTGCCGTCCTCAAGCTAAAATGCGGCTAAATGACAAAACCAACTTTTGAGATATGGCCAAAAACGGCGCGTAAACTTTAAATTATTGCTATTATGTAAATGGTTACATAATAGCAATAATTTAAAGTCGACAGTCATGTAATGAATGGTCATCACATGACTGAATGAATTAAAAACTGTTAACTTGTTTAATACAGAAAATGATTAAATTATGTACCTGTTTTATGTACCAATGACTACTTAATAAATGATTATAAAAGAAATGAGAACCTTACCCTTCTAAATTTTGATTACCACAATAATTCAAATACATAGAATCCTCCATTTTTCCAATTCAGAAGATGATTATGTACCAATGACTACTTAAATGATTATATAACAGAAATGAAAATATTAATATACATATATGTAATCAATCGATTTTAATTTTTCATTTTACCAATTGTTTCTCTATGACAAAATATATTATTTAAGTATTAGGTATTCGGCCGAATAATATGTAGATATTCGGTATTCGGCCGAATATAATAAAAGCAGCCGAATAGGCCGAATACCGAATAGTAACTGAATATTCGTTGCAAGTCTAATTGTAACGCGATACTGATATTTGACGATATTTCCCAATTGTGTTTTTAGATAGAAGTTCTCAATTTCAGAGTTTCTCAGCTGGAAGGCCGAAATGGAATCTGCAACCAAACTCAAATTCATGGACGGCAGCAAAGGTACATCGAGGCAGACGTATAACTGTACATTCTTTCTCGGAGCTCAAAGGGGCAATACGGACGGTGTTTCGCGCCTTTGCCCGTCTTGCATAATCGTTCGGGAGTACTCCAAAGGGATACAAGTACATTTCTATAAACAGCATTATGGACACCGAAGTCCAGAGTACACCATATCGGAAAAATTCAATCCATACGTGATCACATCTCTCATGGATCAAAATCCAAAGACTCAACTCGATGTCATCGATATGTCCGACGACACCGATCTCTATGTCCAATTCAAAACTTTACTGGACAACATAGTACTGGACGCGGCGAAATTGAAAATCAATCATCTCAAAGTGTTAATTGGCAAAGCTTTGGAAATGTCGACAGTATTAAAACAGTACACTAACGAAGAAGACTTCGATGAATGCCAGAAGCCGACACCACCGCAGAAGACTATGACTGATGCACAAATAAGTTCAGCTCTCGAGACGTACACGAGAGATTTGAAGAGAAGGAAATTATCTCTCGATGAACCACCAAATAATCTTAAGAAGGTTCCTATAGTGACTGCGACGAAACTGGATAGTTCCAAATATGATCTTAACACTAAATTAGAAACGCCCAAAGGAATTCCAATGACACCAATAAAAACTTATGGGAATAGGACCAAACGAAGCAAAACACCAATTATACTTAACACATATTCCTTGGCAGAAGAAAAGCCAGAGGAAAAGTGTTTGCCGGTGAAAAGCAAACCGGTTACTCCCATAGTTAAAGAAGTTGATCCTATACCACCAAAAGGAAACCCGACGTCAACTATTATGCTTCCTTCGCAACTAAGCACCTTTAACGATTCCTACAAAGAGTTTGTCGATAAAAACTTTGTAGTCAAACAAGACAAAAATAATGTACCAGACATGCCTCAACAGTCGCACACAATAGAAAAAATTAAAGTACTCAGTAAAAACGACATTAATGAGAAACTTGAAAATAAAATAGCTATAGACATGAAAACAAATAATAACCACATCGGAAAAAATAATAGAATTGAAACAAATCTTAATAGTAGCGCAATTTCAAAAAATATCAACGCAGTCAAAGTGACGAAGACGAGCAATGCTAAAACTAGAGCTAATGTTAATAAAAATAAGTTAAATAGTAAAGTTAAAATTATTTCCAATAAGAAAGTTAGGATAGATAATAAAAAGAAAATTATGAAAACTAAAATCGGTCAGTTCAGACCGAGCTTATCACCTAAGAAGCCTGAAAGGATCAAAGTAAGCTTATCACCTAAGAAGCCTGAAAGAATCAAAGTATCAAGAACGAGCTTGAACACCAGTAAATCTAAAGCCGATTTTGAATATGAAGTGAAAGAGCAGGAGAACGATTGTAATATATTAATTTTAAAGATTTGAAATTGCCCAATTTATTATAATAAGTTTGACATATTTGGGAATATTAATTGGGTTAGAAATTTCCCTTTTACAATGATGTGTAGAATGCTATGCTATGGTATGGAAATGAGGTGAGACATGAAGATTTTCAATAGATGATGCCACTGAAGCAATAAGATGAAACCTACAGTGTGCTTTTAAAAAATTATAGTGTTCATTATTAATAAATAACAGCGAAGCAAGCAATTGGTCGGTTAGAATACGAACTTATTTTAAGAGGCTAAATTTAAAAATTGGTTTAAAATAATAATCAAACATAATACTTTTCGTTCTTAATAAACAGATTTATGGAATAGCTGTTTAGTGTTGTGACAAAGTTCTGGATTTTCGAGCACTATGTTAATAATATTGTTATAAAATCAAAAACTTGAAAGTTTCACAAATGAGGACTATCCCTCGCGCTTGGATAGCGTGAGGTCTCCGAAATATCATTGCTTGTGGGTTGAATATGCGGGTTTATTTGTGTGTGTGATCGCGCCATGAAACAAATATGCCCTGATTTATAGGCCTCTGTTTTAAGTGAAAAAAGTATTGTCCAAACTCAATGTGAAGTGCAGAATTATATCGGAAATGAAATCATTGATATCTGTGTAAAAAATCATAGTTTATTATAAGTTTGTAAATTATTGTCTAATGTAATATTAAGATTAAAGAACAGCATCTGTAGCATTAAATAGATGTATAGTTTCATTATTGATTAAGTTTGTTTTCCAACTACAGAGCATAATGCGACTCAGTGGCGCACAATGCCGAATGATGCTGATGCTTAATTGGAACGTGAATTAGTTTTCAAATGCACCAGCAGAGTGCGCTAAGTTCAGTGTTGAAAAAAAGTCAATGTTTGTACCTTCATCCATACTATATTTTTTTTAACACAGTTTGAATTAACTTTGATTATTAAAAAAAAAACTACAATGAAACGAAAGCTTTAATAATTTTTCAACAATAAATAATATTACTAACGATATCATTTAAATAAAACATTTCGATCAATGCCAACTTAAACAAAAAACACTTGTTAATTTTCTGTCACTGAGTTGGTACGATTGCACGCATCACACGAAAGCATTACTTTTGAGAGTGCTCGATTGTGCGAAGCGTTGCTGTAGTTGGAACATTCAACGTTAAGCATTATGCCGCATAATGCGCTCTAGTGCTGTAATTGGAAAACTACCTAAGTTTCATTGAATTTGGTTGGTATTAAGTATTATACTTGATTGATGAGATTTTTTTCTGGCAGATTTACATTTAAAAGTCAATCCAAAAAGATGAAATCGTTACCAGTCGAAAACTTCAAACACAATAGGAAACTGTAATTGTTTGTATATACCCCGGCAAACATCTTGAGCAGCAACCATTGACAAAAGAGCCTGCGCAATAGCATTTTTGCAATACAAAAACTTCTACTGTGCAAGTTTAATTATCTATGGTTTTGCTTAAGAATTACGTTCGAAATCATGGTTAGGACAGCCTATTAAATATACTGTAGTCAGTTATCATTATTATTTTTTTGGCCACCTTTATGGAATTCTGTGCTATAACTACTTTGTCAATTTAAAAACTATTTAGCTACTTGATGACGACGAACTGATTGTGCAACAAGGATCATTATGAATGCGGCAAAAATTGGAACTACAGCCGCCGTCTTTGTAAAATTCTTAATAGGGATTATGCAAGTAATTCAAATAAGGCTCATTTTTTTTAATAGAAATTCTATTACTTTTGAAATGTCTCTCCATCAATATTTTTTAATATTTTTTTTAGCAATAACAATAATTATTGAAGTATGCTTCTTTTCCCAAAAATAGTTTTTATTTTGAAAATTCAAATATTTGAAACGCGACAAAACGGTTGTGACGTAGAGATACATAGCAACCAATCAACAAGCCAGCACCATGTTCACAGGTTAAGTTAAAATCCAGTAGACCTGCCGACGCATGCCGCTAACTATTTTGACATTTACAGTGTTCAAGAGCTGTGTGTTAGAGGAGATCGATGGCGCGGATGGTCAGCGCGATCGTTGAAGTTAAGCAACTTTCGGTTCTACTAAGTGTTCGGTCATTGGATGGGTGACCAAAAATCTTCTATCTCGTGTTCCTCCGTACTCCGGAAGGCACGTTAAGCCGTTGGTCCCGGCTGCAGCTGCAGTCGTTAGCATCCGCCAATCCGCACTGGGCCCGCGTGGTGGATCATGGCCCCATTTCCCTATTCCATCCTTAGGGAAGGTCTGTGCCCCAGCAGTGGAGACATAAATAGGCTGATGAGACAGTGTTTAACTGAAGGGAAAATTGTATATCCTCCGATGCTTTTCAGAACAAGTCTTAGTGGCGTTATATAATGGCGGTCTTTTGCCTGAAATAAAGAAATTATCATTATTATAATAAACGAATAGTGGTGTCGATTCTGGCATGATTCTTTAAACCTAAACTTAAATTTGTCAATCTGTGTATCCTTGTCATTCTCTATACAGAATGAAAAGAAGAGACTTATGTTAAATTTAGTTTTAAGTTTGGAGAATCACGCCAGAATCGACACCAGTGGATCACTAAATAGCTCGCTGATTGTCATTGTCCATCTTTCAAAAGCAGTTAGCGAATAGGCCTACTGGTACAAATGCGTATTGCGCGCACCTAACCTCATACTCTAACTGTGGACTTATTTTTTTTGTTGCTAGGTTGCTTTGAACTCTGATGTCATACTACATATTTTAAAATGGCACCCGTGCAAAAGTGGTTATTTTTAACATTATTTTTAGAAAAAAGACAATGTTTTCGTCGTTGGACTATATATTAAGGGAATGTCAATTTTGAAATAAAAATATAAAAATTATTAAACATTTATTCCCTATTGTACCTATGTCATTAACGTAGACAGTGGCGCCCTCTGTACTGTCACATTCATAAAGAGTCTTTTGTCGACCTGTACCCTTAGCACGAACCAATGTCGAATTCGAATAGTTTGCGAGTCCGAAATGTCATTGTCGAATATGTAATGATTTTTAGTTCTCGTTACGTACGTTATGGCGCTGCTGTTCAAGTTTTCATAAAAAAATTGAAATAGACATTTCAGACTCGCAAACTATTCAAATTCGTTGATGGTTCGTGCTAAGGGTACTGTAGGCATCATTGTAAAGGTTAAATGAAAATTTACGCCAATTTAACTATATGAACGCCATTTCTTATTTGCCTTTGACAAAATAATCTCAAAAGATAGATTAGCTCAGACTGTTTAATGTAAGTAAGTGAAACCTCAAATGGACTATTCTGCTGGACACTAAACTTAATTTTAAGCGGGGGTCTTCCTTAAGATTTTAAAAGCAATGCAATGCATCAAAATTTCTAACTTTCTTGCAAGGTTTAAAAGGCACATCTTTTTTATAATACTGAAACTGTCTGTCATTATCTTGCCTTGTTACAGCCTTAGGAAAAGAAAGAGTTAACATACTTATTAATTTTAGGGAGTACCTACAACAAATCAAATTTAAATTGTAAATCGATTTTCTGTAGCTTATTAGTTATAAATATTTTGTTAAATATTTTAAAGGTTAAAGAAAATTATGTTTGTTTAGTTTAATGTTTGTATTTTGAAGACAACATAATATTACTAGTATTACAATTTATCATTGTGTAATAAATATCACATTGTTTTTATGTTTCTTTATTCATTAAATACGTATTTTGTATTGAGGTATTTCATCGTATTCTTTACAAATTCTACTTACGAAATCTGAAAACTACTATTTAAGGTGAACGCAGACTTGGCCGCACCGCACGCGTCGCAGTCTTCGCATTTGAATTCTTTATATGAAGTTTTATGCAACGTCGCACCCCCCTCCCGCGTCGTAGTCGCCGCAGTCCCCGAAACGACCGAACTCCCCTAAGCCGTAGCTGATGACGTCACCAACGCAGCAGACGCTGCGGCTAGCGCGGCGCGAATGACGTCATTCGCATCAACTGAATGAAAGAAATCAAGTGCGGGACTTTTTGGCGGGATCGGGAAGCGTCACTATAGCAGTTTTGTTTTTCTTGTTAAAAATTGTGTTGTGGCGGATGTTAGTGTCTTATAATGGTGGATTATTAACCACTTAGTGTTCGGAAACATGCACAAGTGTTGGCAAGTGAAACAAAATAGCGGAAAGTGTATTTCGACGTTCCCTCAAGAAGTCCACGGGGAGGTTCCAGTAAATCCCCACATATTTACTGAAACATAGGGAAAGGGGGATTGACTTGACTGCCACTTACTTTGACTTGACTAAAATTTTGACCACGACTAAATGCACAAACCGTGCGAAGCCATATAGAAAAAAGAAAAATCAAGTGCGATGCGTGCGGCGACGGAAACGACTGCAGTGACTGCGGTGCGGATAGATGTGCGAGGCCATTAACACTAAGCTATGACTGCGGAGACTGCGGTGCAGGCAAGTCTGCGTACACCTTTACTCTTATATTAAAAAGTATAACTCGTGCCAATAAAGAAACTAATCGAAAATATCTACGAAAAACATTCTGTCTCTCTCGCACGTTACGCAGGACAGCGGCAAGGACAGAATGTCATAACGTCATTTGTGTGCGATTTTTTTTATGTTCGCGCTAGTTATTCTTGCGTCAAATAAAAAATGCTCCGACTGACACACGCTTGTTAATAAAAATTCGATCGAGCTAGCGAGACAGAACTGTACCCCTAACACGAACCAATATCGAATTCGTATCGTTTGCGAGTCCGAAATGCCATTGTCAAATTTGTACTGATTTTTAGTTCTTGTTACGTCCGTTGTGGCGCTTCTGTTCAAGATTCCATACAAAATTTTACATTGACATTTCGGTTTGCAAACTTCGAATTCGATAATGATTTGCAAACCGAAATGTCATTGTCAAATAAGTACTGATTTTTAGTTCTCGTTACGTCCGTTTTGGGGCTGCCGTTCGTTTTTTTTTTTTTTTTTTTTTTTATGTTAAATTGGCAATGCGTTTGACCACAATCTCACCTGATGGAAAGCGATGATGAGGCCTAGGATGGTACACGCCTGCCTAGAAGATGCCTGTTCACTCTGGCCTTGAAGATGTCCAGGTTATATTGGTCCGGGAAAACAGACCTCGGCAAGGAGTTCCACTCCCTAGCCGTTCGTATAATGAAGGCCGAAGCAAATCGCTTCGTGCGAATGGGAGGAACTTCGACAACATAAGGGTGGAAGCCCTCACCGCGCCTGGTCGTCCGGTTGTGGAAAGGGGAAGGGGGGATCAAATTATGTAATACCTCCGCACACTCTCCGAAATGTAACCGATAAAACACCGAAAGGCAAGCTACACGTCTTCGGTGGTCGAGGCTCTGAAGATTAGCCTCAACGAGAGCGTCATTGCCTATGAGTCTCTTCGCACGGTGTTCCACCGAGTCCAGTGCATCCAGCTGATACCGAGCAGACAAAATTTGACAATGACATTTCGCCCTCGCAAACTATTTGAATTCGTTAATGATTTGTGCTAAGGGTACAACGCAGCGCGTGAGTGGGGCGGCTAGTCCGCGTCACTTGATAACCGACTGCAGATGCTCTTTTTCTCTTAGCGTAGACAGAGAAACCAATAGGCCAGGAACTGCGTAACCGCGTTTGAGATAGCAATATTTCTCACAAGTGCTGCCACTTTATGTTTTCATCGTTGCAAGACAAATAACATTTAAATATTTATTACAATAAAATTGTTTAATTATTATTTCGACCGTTACATGAACTTTAGTTATTTCATATTAAAAACGTGGCAAACAGGCATATGGCCTGCCTGATAGTAAGCGGCCGCATAGGCTATGGTGGCCTATAGATTGGTTTTAGTGGTGTATAAGCGTCGACGCTTGCAATACCAAAATATCGCTTTATAATGCGATTCAACTAAGAATAGCACCGACTGGGCGCCATATTGTGACGTCATAGCTGTCAATTCAAACCAAATAGGTAGAGTGAGCAAAAAAGTTTTTATTGAGACTTTTTGGCTGGATCGGAAAGCGATAGTAGCAGTTTTGTTCTTGTTAAAAATTGTGTTGTGACGGATGTTAGTGTCTAATAATGGTGGATTTTAATCACTAAGTGTTCGGAAACATGCACAAGTGTTGGCATGTCAAACAAAATAGCGGAAAGTGTCTTTAGACGTTCCCTCAAGAAGTCCACGGGGAGGTTCCAGTAAATCCCCACACATTTACTGAAACATAGGGAAAGAGGGATTGACTTGACTGCCACTTACCTTGACTTGATTTATTACTTTGACCACGAGTGCTATAGAATTTGTAAACATTTTTAACACTTGACATTGGCTAAATGCACAAGCCGTGCGAGCCATTTAGGAAAAAAAAGTTTTTATGTAATAAAACTTATTTACTAAGATTAAGTGACAAAAAACATCATTCTTTTTAATAAAATTTTATTTATTATACCTTATTGAACAAAAAACAACCGATTTTATATAATATTTATTTATTAAGACTGTTTAAGAAATAACATTAATCAGAATCTAGCTCTTCAATTCCGCTTATCTCTGCATTACCGCTGGAGTAGATATGAATAAACATGCAATATTACTAGGTAACATACATCCTTTATGTAAACGAAACTTATAAATCGAGTTTCTGAGCGCAACTTAAGTCACATTTGGTTGACGATTTAGCTTATGAACTATTCATAGCCAAAACTCAATAAAAGAAAAAAAAACAATATTAATTATTAATATTTGTTATTGTTTGTTTACAAATGTTTGATGTTTATTCTAGAATTAGCCGAGTGCTAAAAAAGGGTCCAAGATGTTTTTGCAAACCGTACTTTTCAAGCGACATTTGACAGATTGCATTGAGGTCATTGGCTTTCCTATTCTTATTTGAATCGGACTATACTTAGGTACTTGACTCTTTATCACTTTATTCTTTATCACACCGTTGCCAACCCTGGCCCAATCCCGTACCCCGCTGAGCCTTGGAAACTTAAGGTGAACGCGGACTTGCGCAATACCTGAAACGACCGAACTCCTTAAGCCGCAGCTGATGACCTCACCAACGCCGGCCCGCACGAGCGCACACTGCGGCTCGCTAGCCAGCGCGGATAACGTCATTCGCATCAACTGAATGAAAGAAATCAAGTGCGATGCGTGCGGCGACGGGAACGACTGCAGTGACTGCGGTGCGGATAGATGTGCGAGGCCATTAACACAAAGCGATGAATGCGGGGACTGCGGTGCGGCCAAGTATGCGTTCACCTTTATTCACCGCCAGTACACTACACTCATATTTGTTACCAACAAATCCGGTTGTGTATAAGTAAACACACACAGAATTTTCGATAATAGGTACTATCGATTCGATTGGATTAGTATCTTTGAAAAATAAAACAAATCAAAAGGATATTTATTTAATCCTTATGATTCTTAGTAATAAAATATTAAGCTTTTTTATGTGGAGGGGAGGGGTTAAAAACAGTGTTACGTAATAAATGAGCCCCTTTTAAAGTAAATTATAATATTGGTCAGCATTCTTTTTTAAAAGCTGTCGTTTAGCTTGTAGTACTGCTTTTAACTTTTTAAGTTGGTTTTGAGCAATATGACCAAGTTTCTTTATGCGTAATTTAAATGTTGCGTTTTTTTTAAACTTGAAATCATTTCAAGTTATTGCAGTTCCAGACGCTTCTTCTAAGATATTTGGCCGGGCAAAATTTGAACTTCACGGTTTTGCAGAAAGGTCAGTAGTCTGTAAAATAAAATTAACAAAACCTTAAATTATCAGAGACTGTCGATTCTGGTAGGATTCTCTTAAGTTAAAACTAAATATAACCTCAGTCTGTACTTTTTATTTTGCATAAAGAATGACAGACTGTAGTCAAATTTCAGTTTAGCTATTATACCAGAATCGTCACTAATGCCTTGAACATTAGATTTAATAGTGAATAATTAAATTCTGGCAGGGTTCTCTAAACCTAAACTTAAATTTCACGACAGTGGTGTCGACTCCGGCGTGATTCTCTAAACTTAAAACTAAATTTAACATCAGTCTCTCCTTTTCATTTTGTATAGAGAATTACAAGAATTACAACAATGTTGTCAAATTTAAGTTTAGCTTTACAGAATCATCTCATAATCGACACCAGATTATCCTTAAATTTAGTTCAAACGTTAAAGAATCCATGTTTTATCTTTGTCCTTTTCTGGATAACAAACGGCCAATAATGCCGGCTTTGCACTTGGCTATTTGTAAACTTGATAACAGCCTGTCCTTATCCTCCTTTATCAGAAATTAAAAGAACAGAGTTGGTTGCTTTCCAATTACAGCATTATTGCGCATTATGCGGCATAATGCTTAACGTTGAGTGTTCCAACTACAGCAACGCTTCGCACAATTGAGCACTCTCAAAAATGATGCCTTCGTGTGATGCGTGCAATGGTACCAACTTAGAGAAAGAAAATTAACAAGTGTTTTTTCTTTAAGTTGCCTGATCGAAATGTTTTATTTATATGTTACCGTTAGTAATATTATTTATTGTTGAAAAATTATTAAAGCTTTCGTTACATTAAATAGTTTTTTTTAAATAATCAAAGTTCATTCAAACTGTTAAAAAATAAATATAAGAATGGATGAAGGTACAAACATTGACTTTTTTTTTCAACACTGAACTTAGCGCACTCTGCTGGTGCATTTGAAAACTAATTCACGTTCCAATTAAGCATCAGCATAATTAGGCATTGTGCGGCACTGAATCCCATTATGCTCTGTAATTGGAAAGCATACAGTGATGCCAAGTTTACAAATATCACGAGAGTAACGACAACACGACAAATAAATGTATTTTTGGTTTAAGTGTGATGTAGAAAAGCATAGTCTAAACTCAACTTAAATTAAAAAATCGGAACGAAAACCGATTGTATTGAGATGGATTTACAATTGAATAGAATCGATAATGGGAATCGTACTTGTACAGTTCGTTCCTGAACGAAAGTAAAGTTTTGAATAAACGCAACGGATTTTTGTATGTTGGTTGGATTGTTGATTCTGACATTTTATTTGAATTTGATTTGCCTCGAATGTTTTTTGTTTTCACACGTTAATGTGAAAAAAAATAGTGGCATATATTACAATCGTGGGAATAATAAATTCAAGATGTGATATTATTAATTTTCTGGTATAGTTTAAGTGAGAAGATTGTGTTTTTATTAAATTGACGAAGAAAAACAGATTGTTTACTTTAAAAATTATTACTGTTATTTTGGATAAACCAAGTACATAGTGTATATTAACCATGGAAAGCTACAATATTCAAGCACCTTCAAAAGCAAGTAAGTTTAATAAACGGCTATAGTTAAACAAATATATATTTACATTATGTTAATGTAAAGCAAAATATGGCATAACATTTATTTACACGATCCCATTTGTTTCTTAATCGGAAAAGAGGCTTTGGCTAAACTATTTCAAGTTTTTGAGTGGAGATATTTTTTAGAAAAAGTAAAGATTTCTTTTTCTGTGGATGTATAATCTAATTTGCTGTCTAAATTATCTAGTGCAGTTTCTCGTGTAACTCAAGTTAATGGTGAATATTACTATAATCCGAAAGGCTAACATGCCTTTCGAAGCACGGATTATTCTAATATTTTAGCTGTTGGTCCCAGCTGCATCTGCAGTCGTTAGCCCAATCATGGCGCAATGTCCCTATTCCATCAATTTGCAAGGCCTGTGCCACAGCAGTGGGGACATTAATAGGCTGATGATGATGATGATTGCAATAATTAATGTTGCTACTCTCTCTAAGAAGTTTTTGAATAAACTTTGAGGTATACATAAAACTCTTTACCTACTTTATTCTCATGGCTGTTTTATGAATTTTACTATCAGTTTAAGAGCAAAATAATAGTTAATAGGAATGGTTATTGAAATCAGCCAAGTAAGAGTCGCACACATTACTGTACCATAACTAACAATAATTCTCACATCATTCTTTGAAATAAAACAAAGACCCCATTTAATTTGTGTGCCTTTATTTTCGCAAAGTTTTTTTACTAGTGAACTGATTTTCATCATGCAGTTTTCAAGATGTTAAATAGTTTTACACCATACTTTTTACTGGACACTGTGGTTTGAGTGGTATACTCCTCCTGTTTTCACGGTATTGGCTACTCCAGAGGACCAGGGTTCAAATCCTGGCAGGGCACATGTTTGTATTTGTATCCAAGTAGTGGATGTTTATACATATTAAAAAAAAAACTACTGATACCGTCAGTTACCATAGTATCCCATAACCCAAGCCTTACAGTGATTAATTTAGGGCTAGACTAATTGGTTTGTGTGTGTTAGAAATATTTATTTTTATTTTTATGTATAAAATAAAGCCATAAAACAAAAACTGCAGTCCACAACTAAACAAAGTCAAATTTGGTACAAATTTTGTAGTATGTAAAATGTTACTCCTGTACCAAAGTAGGTATTATATGGGCCATTAAACAGTCATCAGTGAATATATGTTTTCATTTATGTTTGTGAACAAATTTCAGAAATGGCCGAGCTTCAGGCTATTATGACTAAGATGCCGTTTGAAGTGTGCTGTGTCACCGTACTGCCTGAATTCGAGGTAAGAAACCACTATTTTGATTGTGTTAAAGATTGAAAAGTTGGAATTATTAATTTTTACATTAAAATTTACATAATTATTATTGGTTGCACCGAATTTGGGTCCTGCCGAATGTCGAATTTGGGCAAATTTTCAGTTGAAATATAATAATTTGTGTAAATCGCGCTGTGAGTTTTTAAGCCTTTACGACTGCGATTGCAGATAGGGTGGCCTGATGTTAACCGACAGATATTTACTCCAAAACACACGACACAATAGTTTGTTATAGTAAACAAATCAACAATATTAAATACCCTAGATCAGCTATACTCTAAGTGTGTTCCGCGGAACCCTAGGGTTCCGTGATACCTCTGTCGGGGTTCCGCAAGAATTTAGAAATAAAAAAATCAAAACACCTCTCTCTGGTCGCTCCGCGGCTGTGCGGACTCCGCGGCCGCGCGGAGACAAAACGCTATGAATGTTATTTATTTATTTATTTGTATTTGTATAAGCTTGTGTTACATTAGCTGGTACAATATCTCATAAGTTTGGTCTCAACAATTTTATACTTGTACAACGCGTTCGCTCTAAGTTTGCCGGTCTGTGGAATGCGCGTACCCTCCCCCACGTGACAACAAAACTTATAATGTGTCATAGTTTTACCCAAATATCTAACGTACACAATTTTTATTGTTACAATTAAATAAAAAATTTCGAACGTCATACACTCATACCTATCGCCAGCGGCAAACTTAAAACGAGCGGGTAGTATACTTGTAAGCGCTCAGTCTCTTTGATAAAAGCCGCCTCTGAATTAGACGCTATAGTTGTCAACTAGCGACTTTCGTCTCTAACTTCAAAGGATAAAGTCGATATTGTTTACAACGCTATTTTTAAATTTCTGTTTTTATTTTTGCTTTTTGTTTATCAAAGGTGCCGACTCGAGTATTTTCGAGAATATTTGAGATCGAGTCTAGGACTAAGTATAAAAGCGGCGATCGCGCGTTGGCGTCGTCAGTTGATGATTAGCGTTCGGAGCGATAAGTTACTACCTACTTACAAGCTCGCTAGCGAGAAACTGGTGTTCATTGTTTTACTGCCTGCTGTATTCTGTTGTCTCAGTTTTATACATTTCTTCCCTGTAGGTTCTAAATTTAGTCTCTTATACGCAGTAACGATTGTGCATTATTTAAACCCCACTATCCTGACTTGTAACATTATAAATAAAGAAGAATGGAACGTTGGCTTAAAGGTGTTAAACGTGTTCCAACAACATCTTCTAATGACGCTGAATGTTCAAAAGCAATGCGCGCGGAGAATTTAGCAATCACCGATCCAGAAGATGATGCCACGAGTGCCACGACGTCAAGCTCGACGGTTTCAAAGACGAAAAAAAGGAAGTATGATGAATCTTATATCAGTTTCGGATTTGTTGATTCCAACGGCTCACCTCTCTGCATGCTCTGTAGTAAACTGCTTCCTAATAGTTCCATGGCACCTGCCAAATTGCGTCGACATTTAGAAACCGTACACCCCGAGACTAAAGACAAGAATAAAGAATTTTTTGTTCGCAAAAAAGATCAGTTATTAGAAAGTCAAAAAAATATGATGCATGTAACACAAACTACCAACGAAAAGGCCACGGAGGCATCATACTTAGTTAGCTATCGCATTGCACAAGCAGGTGAAGCGCACACTATCGCTGAGAAATTAATAAAACCATGTGTATTAGACATAACAAAATGTATGCTTGATGAAAAATCTGCAAAGCATCTTTCTACTGTTCCGCTATCAAACGATACTGTTTCACGACGAATCCATGATCTGGCAAGCTACGTCAAACAAGAACTAGTTACACGTCTACAAAATACACGATTCGCTTTGCAAATGGACGAGTCGACTGATGTCGCTGGTTTGGCTATCCTGCTGGTTATTGTGAGATATCCATATAAAAGTTCTTTTGAAGAAGACATGCTTATGTGTTCATCGCTGCTTACAAACACTACCGGGGAAGAAATTTTTAATAAAATAAATATATTTTTTGAAGAACATAATCTCAGTTGGAACAATTGCATTGACATTTGTACAGATGGGGCCAAGGCGATGACAGGTAAAACAGCAGGAGCAGTGTCACGAATGAAAAATAAAGCGCCTAATTGTAGTTCCAGTCATTGTATTCTGCATAGACAAGCACTTGCGATGAAGCAAATGCCGTCTAATCTAAAATTAGTTATGGATGAAGCGGTAAAAATAATTAATTTTATCAAATCACGACCACTACAATCCCGATTGTTCTCATTATTGTGTGAAGATTATGGCAGCAAACATAAAACACTGCTGCTCCATACAGAAGTGCGATGGCTGTCTCGGGGAAAAACTTTAACAAGGCTATTTGAACTTAGAGCCGAGTTACAAATGTTTCTTTCAGCAGATACTTCTTTTAATTTGAAGGACCGTTTGTATGATAAAACTTGGTTGTTCCGATTGTCTTTTATGGCGGATATCTTTCAAAAACTTAACGAATTAAATTTATCATTGCAAGGTAAACAGACAACAGTGTTTCAGGCCTATAATAAAATAACTACTTTTAAAAGAAAATTAGATTTTTGGATCATTTGCATTGGTAAGAAAGAAATAAAAGTTTTACGTTACTCACTGAGTTTGTTAGCGAAAACGACTCAGAAATGTTTGAAGATAATGTGTTTGAAGAATTGGTCCAATATCTCAGTTCGATGCGCGCATCTTTTGAAAAGTATTTTCCCGAAGAACACAATACAAAAATTAAAGTGAACTCCTGGATTCATAATCCTTTTTTACCCAACTTGGAAAAGCCTGAAAACATGTCAAATGAGATATATGAATCTCTTTTAGAAATGTCATCAGACACAAGTATGGAGTCATTGTTCAAAACGACGCCTCTTAATGATTTTTGGTGCAGAATCCAAGATGAATATGCAATGCTTGGCCAAATGGCTCTGGATATTCTTCTCCCGTTCCCAACTACATATTTGTGCGAAACAGGATTCTCTACCTACGCAGCCACGAAAACAAAATATCGCAATAGACTGGACGCCGAAGCTGATATGAGACTCCAACTTTCTTCCATCAAACCTGATATCAAGCAATTGATGAAAAATAAAAAACAGTTTCATACCTCCCACTAGTTAGATTTTTTCTTTTTTAATGTTTTCTATTATTGTCCTTACCAAGTGGTGAAGTAAATAATAATTAGTAACGGATACATTGTACTTTTATTATGCTGATTAATATAGAATACACTTATAAAAATAATTGTTTTATTGTAGGGTTCCATCAAGTATTTTGCTTCCCAAAAGGGTTCCGTCATTTAAAAAGTTTGAGAACCACTGCCCTAGATACACCAACACGAACAAAACGTGGCTGAATCCTGTCGAAAAGGTACATTGAACTATCCACGGAGCTCTGTCCAAGATTAAACATGGAAAGAAAAAAAGAAATGTGCTCATGACACATCCGCTTTTATATAATACCAATGGTGAAAATGTTATTAGTAGAGATTGGTAGAGAAGCTCGATGGCGCAAGTGGTTAGCGCATTCGGCTGCGATCGTTGAAGTTAAGCAACTTTCGCAGTGGTCGGTCATTGGATGGGTGACCAAAAATTTACTATCTCGAGCTCCTCCGTGCTTCGGAAGGCACGTTAAGCCGTTGGTCCCGGCTGCATCTGCAGTCGTTAGCACCCACCAATCCGCACTGGGCCCGCGTGGAGGGTCATGGCCCAATCTCCCTATTCCATCCATAGTGAAGGCATGAGCCCCAGCAGTGGGGACATTAATAGGCTGATGATGATGAAAATGTTATTTACAATGTTAAGTTGAAATGGCGCGACGTTTCCCGCGCGGTTCGTAACGCGCGCCTGCCGATGACGTCGGCGAGTGTCGCTCGCGTCATCTGCAGGCACGCCGCTCGCTCGCTGCAGGCCGACGACGTAGACGACATTATAGCCAGTTTGAGGTTGAAGCGTAAGTATCTTCTATATATACAGGCTGTGACAAAAGTCCGAAATAAAACTTTAGGGTTTGGTTGTGTTCCTTGTATAGAATTACCTACGAAAGTTTGACGCCTTTCAGACCACTTTTATTTTCTAATTAAATTAATAAAAATATCGTTTTACACCTGCCTATGACAATCCTATAAATACGTACGATTACTACTACCTAAACAGACCCCCCTCTCTCCCCCAGGCGCCCCTGCGCCCCGCTCAGATACCTACAAATTTTTATTTCGGAATACATACCTACAAATTCTTTTTCGGAATTCTGTAACACCCTGTATACATATAAAACTCAAAGGTGACTAACTGACTGACATAGTGATCTATCAACGCACAGCCCAAACCACTGGACGGATCGGGCTGAAATTTGGCATGCAGGTAGATGTTATGACGTAGGCATCCGCTAAGAAAGGATTTTGATCAATTCTACCCCCAAGGGGATAAAATAGGGAATGAAAGTTTGTATGAAACTTTGTCAATTTTAAACCGATCGGGCTGAGACTTTGCATGCAGATATAAGAAGGATCATAGATGAATGTCATTGTGTATATAATACAAGCCTGAGAACAAAAACTGTAGTCAGCTCTACACCGAAGCGAAGCGAGGGCGGGCCGCTAGAATACATTGAATATTTTTTTAAAAGAATACTTAGGATGTGATCTACCAAAGCCAAAAAAAATATAGTTTTTGGAATTTTTGTCTGTTTGTCTGTATGTATGTCCGGAATAAACTCAAAAAGTACTGCATGGATTTACTTCAAATTTGGCACGAATATTATTTAGAAGTCGGGTCAACATATAGGCCACATATTATCACGCTATCACCTACGGGGGACGAGCAGTGAACCTTTATTTCTAACTGTACGCCTACGAAGTCGCGGGCAGCCGCTAGTGTATAACATTAATATGAATTAACTGGAGGCAATTCGCCTAACGGAAATGCTATGGAAAACGCTAACGCTAACGATTTCATTTAGTTACAATATTAAAAAAAATCAGCGTGAGCTATTTGAATTTCGGCTGTCAGAAATAACAAAATAAAATAGAAAGCGTTAGCGTTTTCAAAAGCATTTAAATAAATAATAAATAAATATTTCCAACACTCACACCAATTAGCCTAGCCCCAAAGTAAGCACTGTAAGGCTTGTGTTATGGGATGCTAGGGTAACGGATAGAATACATATACTGTACATATATAAGTATATTTATATAGAAATACATATTAAACATCCATGCTCGTATTCATCACACAAACATCTGCCCCCACCGGGATTCGAACCCGGGACCTCTCGAGTCGGCGACACCATGAAACCCGGCGTACAAACCATTCGGCCACGGAGGTCGTCAAATTTTTAATTTAATTTAAAAAAAATAATTTATTTATAATTTCCGTTAGGCGAATGGCCCCCTGGTCCAGCTTTAATTATTTTGCTTCTTTCTTCAGTGGTAGCTACCCAGAGTCGCGTTTGGCATGTGATCAGACTATCGGAGAAGGTAACCGAAGAGTCTGTTCCGCTGCTCATCAGGTGTCTCCCGGCCAGGATAAGGCAGGCGTTCAAGAACATCCGTAAGACTGGGAGAGCCGAGGTTAGTATACAGCAGGATATAAATTAACCAATAGGTCGGCTGCGATCGTTGAAATTAAGCAACTTTCGCAGTGGTCGGTCATTGGATGGGTGACCAAAAATCTTCTATCACGAGCTCCTCCATGCTTCGGAAGGCACGTTAAGCCGTTGGTCCCGGCTGCATCTGCAGTCGTTAGCACCCGCCAATCCGCACTGGGCCCGCGTGGTGGGTCATGGCCTAATCTCCCTATTCCATCCATAGGGAAGGCCTGTGCTCTAGTGGTGAACATTAATAGGCTGATGCTGATGATATTATAATATTGTTACGTGTCGGGATGGGGTTCGAATTTATATGCCAGTTCACGCTTGACAGTTCTTTATTCACCACACAGTTCACACAATTAACACACAATGTTAATTACAAAACACTCACTAAACACTGTATTTCACTATACAAGTCTCTAAACTATCGCACTTGAACACTTTTGTTGCACTTTGATCGCCTTTGAATTCGCTCCGAAATCGCTGTTGAAACTCAACTGTCTCTGCGCGGCGCCAATCGCGCTTATATACGCCGATCGACGCATTCTAGAAAGTACCTGTTCAATTGAGAATTAACTAGCACCCGCGAGTACGAAATATCTACTTATACCTACGCGTGTAACGCGCTTAACTTGTAAACAAGTGCAGATGTCGTTGCACTTTCTCCCTTACGCCGCACTGCATAAGGCTCATTTCAGAATGAGCCGCATTACTCGTCCTCTATCGCGACCCGCGGTGATCTGGCAAATTCGATCTCTGGCACTTTCGCTGTTACGTTTCGAGAGCGTTTGTGACAATATAATACTACTAGCAAACCAGTGCACCAAATGTTCACCAAAACCTGATTTCTCGAAAACCGGAAGTGCTACGTTACTCAAATCCGGTTTGTAGTCTTATCAGACTATTCTTAACTTATAACTTAAATATTCTCTTTATCTATCTCTTACGGTTTGGCCGCTGAAACAGCACACAAACGGACTTGTCTAATAGATAAGAGATACTTGGACTAGTAGTTTAAAACGCAATAAATTAAACCCAGACTTAAAAACCCCTTGTTTTTTTTTTACTATCCCGATCTGCAACCCTAAATCCCGATTTGTTTTGACCTCTTGTACCGATTTAAAACAAATCGGACCTGGCAACTCTAGTAATGGCCCAATCTCCCTATTCCATCCATAGGGAAAGCCTGTGCCCCAGCAATGGGGACATTAATAGGATAGGATATGTGGCGGCGACATTTACATGCCCCACATATAATATAACATAGAGGAAATAGACACTCGCCGCCTTAAGAGATGGCGCTACCCGCGCTGCGTTCACAACGTAAGGAAGCCTACATCGCGCAAGTGAAATTCGGCAGCCAACGGTTCATATATACGATGCCCGACCAACATCAGTCGGGCCGCGGCCCTCGAGCTACCATCACCCAGCTCGGAGGAAGATCTTCCCCTTTGGCCTTCCTACAGATATTATAATATTTTCAGGTAGGGATGTCGAAAGTTGAAAAAAAATATCGATACATCGATCTTTTAAAAAATATCAATATCGGCTTCGATATATCGCGAAAAAAACATCGATATATCGGACCAATTTTCCCGAAAATATCGTACAGTATCTCACGAAATATGACACGCGGAATAATAATGGAACGAAAATTATCTCCCTAAAAATAAACCCTAATGATGAAAATGATTGCAGGGCCTCTCAGATAAATGATTGCAGGGTCTCTTTCGTAAACAAGACTAGACAGTCACACACTTAACAGAATATAATGGAAATCAGCACAACCGATTCACCAGCGAAACAGATTTACAAATAATAGACAATACTAAATACAGCACAGATCATAGATATGTTGAATATCATTAATCTGAGATCCAGTTACGATTTTTCCAGATACGAATTTAGTTAGATCGTGATATGCCGCTAATAATTAAAAAAATATCGCTTTTGATACGAATTTCGATATTGGTTATTTTGTATCGATATATCGAATCAAAATATATCGGCAAAAAATATCGATATATTTTCAACAAGCCTATTTTCAGGTACAAACCGCATTGTTGGGCGACCTGCTCTATATGAGCGTACAACTTGTTTCTGAGAGAAGAGAAGGCAGTGTTCTATATGCGGCCACTCCACCGGGACAAGACGTGCTTTTAGTGAGCTCGTTGGGCATGAATACGCTGATTAAAGCTACGGTGCAAGGTAATTTGAACCTTATGTATGTATTGAGGAGGTCGATGGCGCAAGTGATCAACGCGTTCGGCTGCGATCGTTGAAGTTAAGCAACTTTCGGCGGTGGTCGGTCATTGGATGGGTGACCAAAAATTTACTATCTCCAATTCCTCCGTGCTTCGGAAGGCACGTTAAGCCGTTGGTCCCGGCTGCATCTGCAGTCTTTAGCACCCACCAATCCGCACTGGGCTCGCGTGGTGGGTCTGGTCAAATCTCCCTATTCCACCCATAGGGAAGGCCTGTGCCCCAGCAGTGGGGACGTTAATGGGCTGATGGTGGTGATTGCAAAACTAGCGCTGGAGATCCGGCTTTTGATGAAGAAAAGAAGATTGTCATCATCCCTATACTTACTATTAGACTCAAGGGCGGATCCAGGGGGGGGGTCATGGAGGTCATGACCCCCCCCCCCCCCCCCTGGGCTGGGTACAGATGGACCAAAACCAGGGGGATTTTATTTAAGTACTTTCAATATTTATATTTATCGTGGTACGACTATATGACCCCCCACACCCCGCCAGCAAAGCTGACTATATGACCCCCCCCCCCCCTTGGCGCCAAAGCTGGCTATATGACCCCCCCCCCCCCTGGCGCCAAAGCTGGATCCGCCCTTGATTAGACTTGCAACGAATAGTATAATCGGCAGTATACCGAATATTCGGCGAGGCCCCTGACCGAATAGCCGAATATTAGGCAAAAGTATTCGGCTGGATATTTAGCGCCAAAAACTTGTACAGACGTGATTCTTTCGCGCTCCTTTGTTTGCAGTGCAATTCTGTTGCTGTTTTATATACCAATGACTACTTAATAAATGATTATAAAAGAAATGAGAACCTTACCCTTCTAAATTTTGATTACCACAATAATTCAAATACATAGAATCCTCCATTTTTCCAATTCAGAAGATGCTTATGTACCTGTGTTGTGTACCAATGACTACTTAAATGATTATATAACAAAAGAAAATATGAATATATACGTAATCAATGAGGGCTACCGTTTTCTGCCTCACCAGATGGCGCCACTGTTGAGTGAGGTCCTAAATTGTAACTTTTAAAGTTTATTAATACGCACATGAAATCAAAGGTTACATTTAGATCGTATTTTGACACAAAAGAACCATATCCTAAACATAATAGGCCATGCCACAGTGACGCGCAGTTCCGTTTTATTCGGAAAAAATGGGAACATAATCATTTTTCTAAGCTCAAATTTTTAATAACTGACATGCATTGTCACATAACTCATATTTGCCATAATTAAGTCGAATTGTTACCAATTATTCACAACATTATTTTAATTAGAAATAAACCCGCGTAGTCAACCAACACGCAATAACATTTGACATTTCGGAGACCTCACGCTACACTAGCGCCTCTAGCGGCGGGTTCATACGCGATAGCCCTCATTGATTTTAATTTTTCATTTTACCTCTATGACAAAATATATTATTTAAGTATTCGGTATTCGGCCGAATAATATGTAGGTATTCGGTATTCGGCCGAATATAATAAAAGCAGCCGAATAGGCCGAATACCGAATAGTAACCGAATATTCTTTGCAAGTCTAGTTACTATGTTTCTTTCGCAACCACTTTAACGCACTGCCAATGCAATCGGAACCTTATGACCACACAGTAAAGTCTAAAACCACCATCCCTCATTCCCAGGTCTCGGTTACAAAGATTTCGTGAACTCCAAACTGTACGGTCGTGACGTCATCTCCCTACTGCGAATCAACGACAGGGCTTGCAATGAAAACGTTGAATTTCTCAGCTCTATGCCCGCATACGAACCGACGCCGGTCATAACCAAAAACGGCATAGACTACACAAACAAGGCGTACGACGAGAAATATGTCGATGGTATACTCGGACCGAATCCACCCTTGCTGACAGATTTGAAAATCAGCACCCACGAAAGCTTTTTTGATCCGACTCGGCTCAATAAGCAGATGAATCTGAGGATTCAACTCAAAAGTCAGGATGTGGCGAAGTCTCTGAAAGCTTGGGTCTTGAAAGGAGCTTTGGCGCCGACTTCGGATTTCTTTCAAATATTCAATAAGATCAAGTCGAATAATATAACGTATGTACGCGAGGACTTTGATTGAATAAAGACGTGTTTTTTTTTTACAATTTGTGTTTATGGTTTTTGTGTCTTTTTTCTTTTCTTACCGTTGAGTCACACTGTGGTAACGCGGCTGTGTGAATGACTTTAGCCCTAGATGACAGTCTGGGTCAGGAGATGTTCATGTATTTTATTCCCGCTTCATAGAAAACAAAGAAAAACGAGTGTTTATGACCCCACGACTGAAGTGAAACTTCTTTAGCTCCATCTGTATGTATACATATATATGTGTGTACAATATATTCATGTATGTACATATACATATTTTATTAACTAGCTATAAGAGAAAGAGAGAAAGAAAATGTGCGCGCGCACAGCTTTCTTTTATATCCCCCACTCAAAACCCGTTCGCCTCGCCCGAACACACCTTTCGTAACGCGTAACGCATTCGCCAGCTTACCCCTCAAGTCGAGCGGTTGTAAAGAAGTTTCGCTTCAATAAGATAAAAGGAAGTGATGGCAACAAGCAAAAGGTACCCACAGAATGTATCCCAGCTATCCTGTCAGCACGTCTTCCGTTCAGACACGAGGTAGATTTTAAGGTCTGCCATAAACTACAGCAGGCGAAATGGCTAGCCACTGGTTTGTAGACGACACTCCTATTCGTGGTAAACTATCAAAATGTTCACAGGGTGTCCCACGGCCACGGCCCTTTGCCACACGGAGGGAAAGCAAGGGCGGATCCTGGGCTGGGTACAGATGGACCAAACCCAGGGGGATTTTATTTAAGTACTTTCAATATTTAATATACGACGACTATATGACCCCCCCCCCTGGCGCCAAAGCTGGCTATATGACCCCCCCCCCCCCCCCTGGCGCCAAAGCTGGATCCGCCCTTGAGGGCTATTAAATATTGGAGATGGGACATTTAAGTGGAAGAAGACATCATTTTATTTTTAACTAGTGGCCCGCCCTCGCTTCGCTTCAGTGTAGAGCTGTAGTGTAGACTATAGTTTTTGTTCTCAGGTGTGTATTGTACACATTGAATTTATTTATTTAATTCTTTTTCTATGATTCTTTTTTTATTGAATAGGTCATAATGTTAACTTTTTTAAATTTGGGATGAGTGATAGTATTATAAACGTAAAAGTAAACAAATATAATCAGAATGCTCCGAACTGCTAAGCTATCAGGAGTTACACGTATTATTGTGAGTAAACCATAAAAGATAGACATATGCTGTTGCAGGATATTTTTAGACAATTTTATGTAGAATATTTCCGTCATACTTGATTTCTATGTAACTTTAACCATTAAGGCTGCGACGCGACGGAAGCTTAAAAAATGGAGTAACTTCTCCCGTTATCTCAACATTTCCCTTCACTACTCTGCTCCTATTGATTTTAGCGTGATGAAAAGTATACTATAACCTGCCCATGAGTATGAAAAATAATTGTACCAAGTTTCGTTAAAATGCGTCGAGTAGTTTTTGTTTCTATAAGGAACATACACACAGACAGGCAGACAGACAACAATTTTACTGATTGCATTTTTGGCATCAGTATCGATCACTAATCACCCCCTGATAGTTATTTTGAAAATATATTTCATGTACAGAATTGACCTCTCTACAGATTTATTATAAGTATAGATAATAACTAGAACTGCATTAACAATTTTCAAAAAATCGCCTGCAAAAACCGGAAATCAAACTCTTGAAATTTGAAACAAAAACACATGTATTTAATGATAACCGTCGGAAGGGTTAATCATGAGGATTGATTTTTCCTAAATAACATAGTATTTTAAATGAAAGAAGAATCACGAATTTTTGACTTTTTTATAACACAAACTACAATAAAAAAGATACGGTGCAAGGTTTGTATAATCAGTGGCGGCGCTAGACCACATGTGGACGTCGGCGACATCAAGTTGGCGAGGCCTATTTTACTTCGCAGTAAAAAACCGTTAAATTAAGTGAGTCAATTATAAAATAACGTATGAGTAAACGAGTTTTATTGTCGATAATCAAATGATGACAAAAAATAATTACAAACATAGAAATTTAATTACAAAAATAGTGTTGCCAGACAGACGATTCTGAATACCCGTAAAGTACTACTCGCTTCCATCACGCACGTGTTCGAAAATAATAAAAGTCATTATCATCTGCTTAGCTTTTTCCCCGAATTGTTCGGGGTCGGCTACCTAAGCCAGGCCAGGAGAAACGAAAATAAATAGGTAACTTGTAAAAATTTTTTGCGAGGCCCCCTCAGGCGCGAGGCCGTCGGCGGTGGCCGACGTCGCCGACGCCTAGCGCCGCCACTGTGTATAATTATCACTTTTTTATTTTTTCACATATTTAAGTAAGGCGCTGGGGGTGGGTGATTCTCAGTTAAGAGGTATGTTCGACGGCTAAGCCAAAAAAATCATTATATTTCAGAATTATGATCTAAAATCTTAATAATTTCAATTAACTAAATGTGTTCTAAATTATCACTTAAAATTATATTCTAAATGTGCATAATTTACTTACAATAACAGCACAAAGAGGAAAAACATCTCTCCCCTGGGTTGTCCCCTAACCGTTTTTTTTTGTTAATCAGTAATTTTGAGTCCATTGAAATTTAATTATTACTTTTCTATCGGTAATAACATGAACCCTGATGACTTAGTTACAGTATGTAACCTTTAAATTCATTTATATTTGCACTTTTTATAAAAAATATTAATCGCAAACTGTGTCCTCCGAGTTTCGTGTCTCGCCCTGGCCTTAGGTTTAGTTTGAAAATCGTATTTGTTTACCATAGTCTGTGCTAGTTTTGACCTTGAAGACACCGAGTGTCACGTGAAGTTAGCAGCAAGCACTGCACAAGCTATCCGCGCCGCAATTTTCTTGGCCATTTGCGCAACGGTGCTCGATGAGTGATCGAAGTATTTACCCTGGTATTTTTTTTCGTATTTATGTGTTTAAATACTACAGTATCTATATACATTTATTTTAAATAGTGCTGCAAACCTTTTATATATTTGTAATCTTTGTAAAATTAGTAGTTTTACGGCAATTTTAGATTTTTAACGAAAATGTCTCTCCCCTGCCATATTTCCCCTGGCTGTTATGGTGCCAGGCTACAAACAAAACTATAAAAACGATGCAATAGCTCAATAACAGTAATGATAATTTATTAGAGAATGTACAATTGCATATAATTTTAGATGATTGTTTAGCTATACTATATATCGTTATTCCACTAAAATCTGATTGCACGGAGAAGTACTTTACATCCTAATATGCGCTCTAAGCGCATTGCAATAAAGTTCATCTTGTCTCTACCCTGTACTCAGTATCTCCCCTGGTGTCTCGTAAAACGAGAATAAATTAAAAAAAATACTGATCATCTTAAAATCATCTGTCTTGATGAAAGTAGTGGTATAGTAGTTATTTAAATATCGACACTTTTTGCTGTGCCGCTGCTTCCATACAACCGATTACCTCTTAACTGAGAATTACCCGGGTGATATATTTTTTATTTTGTTAATTATTTATTTATGTAGGTAAGTAGGTTAAGCTATATAGTTTTTAAGTTTGTGTTATATTAATGTATTATCTTTGTATAAATAAACAAATTTAATTCTTCTGATAAAAAAGTAGATAAAGTAAGGTAATCCTATATTATTAAGTGATTAGGTACTAGTCAGTAAATACTTTGAAATGATAACATTAGCTATTGCAAGCACGGAAAAATAAGAACACTTTTTTCTGAACAAAATTTTAGTTAGATACATCATTTCATGATCTTCCTTTCATTTAAAATGCTACGTTATTTAGGAAAAAATAATCCTTAAGATCTACCCTTTCGAAGGTTTATGATAACCTAAAATATAGCGTTTTTTTTTCACGTTTGATTCGTAATTGTAGTAGGCGATTTAAAAAAAACTGTGATTGCAGTTCTTACAAATAAAATGAAGTCCTCTTTTAGTAAAATATCCTATCTTCAATATTTAATATACTGTCCCTCCGTGTGACAAACCCGTGAGACGCACTGTATATTAGTCGATTTTAGAATTACAATGTATAAGGATCAAATATCGTTCAGTTTTTTTACATTTGTAGTTAGAGCCAAGATTAATCCAATTTTTTGGTTCTTGGTAAGAGGCATCCTAATACAAACAAGTCCGTTCAGCAGAGGCAACAATTAAAACTGAAATTGGCGATCTTGTTGTGTATGTGTAGATGGACGACCAGACTGTACCCAATTCAATCGGCAATCAGATTGGCAATCAAATTGTGTCGTGTGGAAGGGGTTTTACTAATCGATTTGTTATTGCCGGTGAGTAACAGTATAACACCCACAGAACACGAGAGGTTTCTGAAGGGCAGGGCTTGTGGGCGAGGCAGGTGCACCACAGTTATGTGACACTGACGACCTCCGTGGCCGAGTGGTTTGTACGCCGGGTTTCATGGCTGTCGCCGACTCGAGAGGTCTCGGGTTCGAATCCCGGTGGGGGCACATGTTTGTGTGATGAATACGAGCATTTGTACTCCAGTCATGGATGTTTAATGTGTATTTATATAAATATACTTATATATGTAAGTACAGTATATGTATTCTATCCGTTATCCTAGCATCCCATAACACAAGCCTTATATTGCTTACTTTGGGGCTAGGCTAATTGGTGTGAGTGTGGGAAATATTTATTTATTATTTATGTGTGAGCAAATGCTCATAACTTGACCAAAACTTTGTTCTGATTGCGTCGTTGCTCTCTGGCGTGAGCGCTGATTGGTTCGATTGTTTGATGTCGCGTCATTTGATTGGCTGTTATCTATAAGGTGGAAGAGTAGTGGGGGCGAGCCGGCGATATCAATTCACGTACAGACGGTATTTGATAACCATCAACAGGAACCAGGGCTTATTTTTATGTTTTGTAATCAAATAGGTACATAAACAAGAGGAGCACAGGTGGTAAGCGTGGTCGTTGTGTGATCATGAAAGTTAAGCAGAATGGCCGCTCATCGGAGGGGTGAGCATACCACATTAGCTTCTAGTTACT